TTTACCTTTAAACTCCTAGAAATAGTGACGTCAGCAGAACTTCAGCTATGCCTTCTATGGTGACACTCCCTCCCTCCACTTTTTCTAGTCTTGAGCATTCTCCTCATTTAGACTATCCTTACTGCTTTCTTTCTTCACCATATCTTTCCGTGAACTCCGCTGTCTTCCTCTCCCTCATACAGACGCAGATCCAGGGGGGCCGAGCGGGCCTTGCCCCCCCCCCCCCCCCCCGCAAAAAAAAGGGGGGAGAGAGAAGGAAAAGAAGGGAAAGGGAGAGAGGAGAGAAAGGGAGAAAAAAAAGAGGAAGAAGAAAAGAAAAGAGGGAAGAAGGAGACCGGGGGGAAGGATTTGCCTCCCAGGCTGTTGCCTCCCCCCCCCCTCCCCCCCCCCCCCAATCAAAAAATAAAAGAGAAGGAAGGAAAGGGAAAGAAAAAAGAAAAAGAGGAGATAAAGGGAAGGACAAAAGAGGAAGAAGAAAACAAAAGAAGGGGGATATCAGTTGCAATTTTCCTGCCAACAAGGATCGGGGGAGGCAAAAGGCCCTAGCCTCACCCCCCCCCCCCCCCCCCGTCCCCGCTAAAAAAAAGAGAGAAGGAAGGAAAAGAGGAGAGCTAAAAGGGAACAAAAAGAGAAAGAAAAAAAGAAAAGGGAGAAAAGAAGCGGAGATCAGTTGCGGTTAATCCCGCCAACAATGTGTGGAGCGGGGTGGGGACCAAAATGACCTCCCCCCCCCCCCCCAGCAAACCTAAAAGAGAGATAAGAAAAGGAAGGGATATCAGTTGCAATTTTCCCGCCAACAAGGTGTAGATCGGGGGGGGGCACTGGCGTACTGATAGGGGAGGGGGGGGGGGCTTTGGAGAAATATAATTTAAACGTGGTTTATTTCTAATTCCATAACGGTGGTTTACAAATAATGCTGAAATGAAATAATTTTCCGAGATTTTTTCTCACTTTATGCGTTTGTTGGAAAATGACAAATTATTTACAGCCAGGCAAGAAAATGCTTCTTAAGATGCCTACACTTTCTTTGAAAAAGTATATTAAAGAGAAATAGAAAGAAAGAGAGCGAGAAAGAAAAAATAGTTAACTGCCAGTGTCACATTATAATGGGGTATCAAAATATGCTCCTCTGACCATGATTAAATGCCTAAAACCCCAAGGGCTCTGCCCCCTAGATTCCACCTAGGGCCCAAAGGCGGGCCCTTAGATGCTCATCTGACGGTCATTTAATGCCTAAAACCCCTTCTCCTTCAACAGATTCCACATTCCCATTCTCACAAGTGCCTTTTTTCATTTCGAGTGTCCCTTTTCAGGTGCAAGAAGTGCCATTTTCACCTCTGAAGGCTCTGATAATTGCCCTTTTTACTTTGACATAAGCACCTTTTCTTTTCTAATAACTGTCCTTTCCCCTTTTGATAAGTGCCTACTTTTCCTTTTCCATAACATGCACCATCGATTCAAGGCGACTAAGAGCCCCTTTTTCTTCAATTTTCTCCAAAGCTCGCTCGCATTTGTAGATGTTATAATTATGTTACTTATAAACGAACTTTTCAGTCTTTCTTCATTAGATTGTGCTTAATACTCATCAGGGTTTTTGTTGTTGTTTTCTTTATTTTTTTCGAAAATGAATATTCAGACCATCACACCCAACTGCAAAGTATTTTGATTAATTAAGCAGTCACTCTTATACCACGTCAAGAAAGAAACAAATATTGATATAATCCTTGGTAGTGTAACCACAATCACACAATCATGACGATGTTGGGGTATATACCAATGTCTACATATGGTGTAGGTTTTGTTGACGTTTCCCTGTGCAGGTGCCCTTTTTTGTTGGTGCCCCATCCCTATTTTTGAAGACGCCGCCCCTGCATTAGCCTACCTGGTGGTGATAAGATTTTGTTCTGACCCCCAAAAAGTTTTTGCTCATTACGCCACTGCCTACAGGGGTGGTTATCCGGGAGTGGTTCTCCAGGGGGTAGGTGCAGGGGCGTCGCTAGACCATTTTCAGTGGGGGGGGGTGTAGAGGTCAACGATTACCGACAAAACTAGCCACCAATTACCGACAAAATTAAATATCCCAATATCTACAAATTTAACCCTATAAACCCGGGGCCGAAGGCTAAATTGTTTTTCCTATGGACTATCTATAGTAATTCCGTATGCGCAAATTATCATTTTCCTCGACGACATAAATATACGAATTATTTCGTCAACTTAGTCAACATCAAAGCTATATATTTTAATGCAGGTGCGGAGCTAGGATCTTATTTTAGGGAGGGCGGTAGTGAGCAAGGGAAGCGCGCTCATTAGGGGGTGTCGGTGTTAGGCCTCCCGCACGAAGCGTGGAAGCTTAGACGTTTCCTTAAATTATGAGAAAAGGCAGACGATTCGGTGTTCTGTTCTCGACTCTTAATCCTTATCTGAATTCAGTTCTGCCCCGCGAAGCGCGGAAGTTTTGGCGTTTCATTAAATTATTAGAAAGTAGACGATTCGTTGAACCGTGCTCGACTCTTTATCCTTGTCTGAATTCAGTTTCTCCCCCTCCCGCGCAAAGCGCGGAAGCTTTGACGTATCATTAAAATTTTGAGAAAAAGCAGATGATTCGGTGTTGGCCTACTGTTCTCGACGCTTAATCCGTATCTGAATTCAGTTTTCCCCTCCCGCGCAAGTTTTTAAGTTTCATTAAATTATTAGAGAAAGTAGACGATTCGTTGAACCGTGCTCGAGTCTTAATTCTTGTCTAAATGAAATTTCCCCCTCCCGCGCAAAGCGCGGAAGTTTTGACGTTTCATTAAATTATTAGAGAAAGCAGACGATTCGTTGTACCGTTTTCGACTCTTAATCCTTGTCTATATTCAGTCCCCCCCCCCCTTCTGCGCGAATCGCGAAAGCTTAGACTTTTTCTCAAATTATTAGAGAAAGAAAGCGATTCGTTGTACCGTTCTCGACTCTTCTAAATGAAGTTTCCCCACCCGCGCAAAGCGCGGAAATTTTGGCGTTTCATCAAAATATAGAGAAAGGAAGACGATTCGTCGTACCGTTGTCGACTCTTAATCCTTGTTTGAATTAGTATCCCCGAAAATGTTTAACCTCTGATTTCTTTAGCTGATATTATAGGAAAGTAAAACTTCGAGAAAATACAAGTATTGTAGTTGTAGTCACTCTCGAAGTCGTCACAGCAGATAAAAAGTCACAGTTCGTAGGTGAAAAAACTTGTCGGCCGAACGACAATATACATCTCACCGCAAGAATACCGACACAGCTGACCCGACACAGCAACATATTTACCCATGTCTTTCTTGCTTCCTTGACGAGACGACTCCACCCACAACCCCCCCCCCCCTTTCTTTTACTCCCACTCCTCGTTTTTTATGGCTCTTACCTCCCCCTCTCTCTCCTCTCTTCACCCCCCCCCCCGTTTATTTTGTTTCCCTTTTCTCTTTTTTGTCTTCCTTTTTTTTTCCTCCTTTTCTTTCTTTCTCTTTCTTTCCTTTCTCTTTTCTTTTCTTTCTTTTCCTTTCTTTCTTTTCTTTTCCTTTTCTTTTTTCTTTTCTTTCCCTTTCCCACTCTTTTTTCCCTCCCCCTTCTCTCTTTTTTCCCGACGGCAGCGCAATTTTACCGACAATATCCTGACAGGTGGAGGGTGTCGCACCCCCACATCCCCCCCCCCCCTTTGGCGACGCCCATGGGTAGGTGTCCTAGAACCGCGTGTAGTGGGAGTGTGTGTTTGTGTTTGTGAAAGACACAGAGAGGGGGAAAGAAGGAGCATGGAGTGGGGAGAAGGGATGCTTTCGAAATTCCTGGTAGTAAGAATCCACGGCGAAGCCATACAAAAAATCCAAAGGCAGACAATTTACGCTAGTCCGAGAATAATGACACAAGGGGCGGTTTCAGCTACACTCTTCCATCTTAATCAATTTATCATCATGACTAGTTTCCAGGATCATGTTTGGCCAGACAAAAGAACATCTTCAATCTATTTTTTTTAATCAGATAGGAAGGGGATAGCGATTATTAAACAAGTCTTTAAGAACAACAACAATGAGCTTAACAATAGTGATAATAATGATAATGATAGTGATAATAATAACAACGATAATAATAATAATAATAATGATAATTATAAGAACAAAAACAAGAATAATTTCTGCGGGAAACGCGTGCTCCTCCCCGTTGCACCCCCCCCCCCCCCCACACACACTTCCGCAATCGGTTTTCACAATTGAAGCAATCATTTAATTCATTCATTTAAAGGTAAAGACCAGTAATGGTCATGCGATTGCATTGTGAAAGAAACGTTGTGGAATCGATCAGAAAAGGTTGATCATCTAGCATCTAGCATCTGCAAGGTTCTGGAATCATCAAAATGATAAGAAATTTGGCCCATTCTTCGTAAAGTTACAAGCACTATACACAGAAAGATGTATATGGGACTACCCTATCTCTCTCACACGACCATGAGAGAGATAAATTTACCAAATATATGAATTAGTAGGCGGTTTCCCGGCAAATTTTTTATCATCATGTATTAGTCAAAACATATTCTTTCACATGATTGGTAATGAGAGCTTCCATTTCATTTTTTGAAATTGGGGCGTTACCAATACTGGTCTTTACCTTTAACAAGAAATTAATTTATTCATGTACACACTGACCAGGAAGGAAACAGTAAACACCCTGACAGAAATGGCAGAGGTTAAACTCAGCAAATGTCATATTCCGTGAACTGACTTGAGTGTGCAGATAGCAGAAGCTACAAGTCAGTGATTTGAGTCGGGTGTGCTTTCATTTTCCACGTTTACCAATTCCACGTATTCCAAGTGGTGTGTAATTTCCTCGGTATCCAGAAAGTAAAGGTACGGTACACTTTAAAGATATTTGTCACTTCTTTTTTAATAATTTTTATCATCTGAAGTAAAAAGAGAAATACAAAAAGAAGGAAAAACCGCAATATCGTTGCTTTAGGTGGAGCACATTCTTAGTCTTTCGTATTAAATATGTACCACTTGCTCCCAGTGACAGGCTTATTCAGATGGGCCAGTAAGCTGACCTACCTGGGCCTATCGGGATCAAACTTGAAATCCCTTCCCAACGACACCCTAATATGGAATCAACACATAGACTACCTGGATTTAAATTCCAACCACCTCACTTTCATCAATATTAGCACTTGTGGCTCAGTAAGATATGCTGGCTTCTTTAGAAATCACATTGAACAGCTCACAAAGGAAACTTTCACCTATGCGTGTCAAACTGATTATCTGAACCTTGGTGCAAACCCAATCAAGTTGATTGATCCCATTGCAATTGCTGCACTACATACCCGCTCACTTGTGCTAGGTGGCGGAGGCCACTTTTGGACACCCGAGATGCTGAGAAACCTCACAACCGGAATCTCTCGTTCGCAGATCAAGAGGCTTAAAGTCTCTGCTGTTGATTTAAGTCCTTTCCCTCAAGATTTCTTTACTCCATTGCGAGATTATTCCTTCACTCTTCTTGATTTAACCTTTTATAATGTGAATGCCCTCTATCCATTCGTCTTCTCGAATCTGACGCTGCTCGATCAACTTAATCTCACTATTAACGAAATAGCTACAATCGAACCGAACTTTTTTGACGGCATGCAGGCGTTGAAAGTGTTGAAATTAGATCAAAATGTGGTAAGGAGTATAAATACTGGTAATCATAATTGGACAATCAACCTCACTGAGTTGTATTTATTAGGGAATTCATTGACATATATTTCGAAATTTGCATTCCTTGGTTTGCAAAATTTAACCCTTTTAGACTTAAGCTCTAACAAACGACTTAATCAGATTTATTTGACATCCTTTACAGGACTAAATAGCATTCACACCATTGATTTGTCAAGATGCAGTATCGTAAGTTTGGTGTTGTACAGTCCGATTTTAAAGTCGCTGCGTATGGAAGAAAACAAAAACGGTAAGATAGGTATAGGTCCTTTTCACCCTGGGGGATCCTTCAAATACTCATCGAATCTTGTTTATTTGGATATACAAGAGTCACAAGTTTCGTCATCTGATCTGTGGGATACAAACACAAATGTTTCTCTTTTCGAAGGACTGTTCAATCTTACGACATTGGATTTGAGTAAGAATCCGAAAATTGGCCAACTCCGCCTGGGTAATGGAATCTTCCATCACCTCTCTGCTCTACAGGAGCTCAGTTTAGATGCCTGCGCTATTTCAAACCTTCACCCTCTTGTGTTTACAGGTTTGGAATCACTCCAGAAGCTGAAACTATCAGGTAATAACCTTAAACAGATTCGTTTTGGTATACTCACAGGGTTAGGGCAAATACGAAGCATTAAACTTGATGGAAACATTCTAGGACACCTTGATGAAGGAACGTTCTTGAACAACTCAAGGCTTACAAGCCTTTCATTGGCAAACAACAAGCTAACGGTTCTAAACGAGAGCACATTTAGACCAATCTATTCTTCTCTTTCACTAATAGATCTTTCAAAGAACCCACTTTTTTGTACATGTGATCTCGAGTGGCTTCTAGATTGGCTGAATCAGAATAGAACAGTACGCCTTGCCAATGAGAATCAGACTCTCTGTGCACCATCATCATTGGCTTCTCTCCGTGAGAAACCTTTACTTCATTTTAATCCCTCTGAACTATGTCGGTTCAACTATGCCATCTTCAGTTTAATTCCAATTGTCATCGTATCATTGGTTGTGTTCCTCGTGCTCGTCTATTACAAGCGATGGAAGCTAAAGTACAAACTCTTCCTCCTAAAATTGGCGGTCATTGGGTACAGGGAGAGGCTAGACGCGCGCAACCATAACGACTATGAGTTCGACGTAAATATCATCTCCTATGACGACGACGAAGAATGGATTCGCGAAAATCTGAGACCAACTCTGGAAGACCAGCTACCGCAGTTTCAAAGGAACATCTTTGGTGACGCAGACCTCATACCGGGTATGTACTACTTGGATGCCGTTGACTACGTAGTGAGCCGGAGTTACAAGACCATCATTCTACTCAGCAGAGCCGCCGTGCGTGATCGCTGGTTCATGCTCAAGTTTCGTACGGCCATGGATCACGTGAGTGATACCCAGACCGAATTTGTAGTCGTTGTCTTCCTCGAAGACATCCCAGATGATGAGATACCTTTCTTGGCGAGGTTGTTCCTCAGTGACGGCAGACCTTACCTCCACTGGACAGAGGATGTGAGAGGTCAAGAATATTTCTGGAAGGAATTGGCAAAGAATCTGACCATCAACCTAAGGACCGATGATCTGATCCCAAATGAATAGAACCAGTATAACAACACTTAAGGTAGCTTAAATCCCGGTTCGAATCCCAGTGGGGATATTTTTTTCAACCTTTACGAATATTTCAAAATGGAGGCCAGCAATTGGGGTGCTAAAGCTACTCAACCATGATTACTCCCTCATTTTCTTTCGAAATATGTATATACATTGTATATTCCAAATCAACTTGTTTATTCGAGGTTTTGGGGGGAAAGTCTATCCTGTTAACCCACAAATAACCAAAATTACTTCTCTTGAATGTATAATATCAAAACAAATTGAGTAAGGAACGGCCTTTTTTCTTTTTCCTTGGCCTCAAAAAGGGTTAGTTTTTGGGGGGTTTGGGAAGAAGTTCACATTATCAAGATAAGAATAATTTAGAAACTGCTCTCTTTAATCAACATTTCATTAGTACTTTGTTCCTTTTTTTAAACTTTTCATACAATAAATCCTTAATGATATTTTCTTCTTTTTTTCTTTCAAGAAGCCATCATAGTAAAAGAAGTGCCTATCATAAACTGCGCAGTAATTTAGGACTAGATCAAATGTATTCTTCAAAACTCTTTGTACCCTGGTCGATACCGGAGCTAAGGTCCGGCTAATAATTTCAAGCTTAAAAAGCATCATAGAAAAGTGAATAGTAGCATTATCGTAGGAAGCAGCAGCAGTAGAAGAATCATCATTATTATCAATTTCACAGATAACAGCTGTAAAAATAAAGATATCAACTTTTGTCTGTATATTATCATATTTTGTCTTTACATTTTCATGTAGAATAATGAATCACATGCCATATTAGTTGATACAAAAGATTATGATAACACAAAATGTTATTTGTTGATTGATTGCAGTTGTGAGTCGGTCAAAGGAGGTGCACTACGTCTTATTTCTTGTTTGTTTGATCTTATGTTAGATCCTATGTTTGACCTTATGTATGTTTGATCCCATTGTTATTTTTATTATATATGCATGATTTATTGAATAAAGAACAGATTATGATTTGTGTGTTTATTATAAGTTTTGATTAATAATTATAGTCAGACAATGGTGCGCTTAGAGACACCCTTATTAAGGCCCTAATAAATGTTGTGTATTATTATTTTTATCATTGATTACTATGTGTTATATTTGTCAATGCTGATTACATTTTTTGTAAGAACTCTATAACTGTCGATTATAATTTGTATCTATCTATTTTTGTCAAAGCAAATTGCAATTTTTGTATGCACTCTATCATTGTAAAATCATCGCACAATTCGGCCATGTCGCAATGTTTTGTTGTTGTTAATCTATCAATAAACCATTTATCTTCACCATACCACTACTTTTATTTTATCATTACTGTTATTAATATCATTATTATATAAAACGAGTGTTAAGCACAAACCATCATCTTCTGGAGCCAAAAGTGCATACATAGTTAATACCCTCCTGGCTCTTAAGAGATGATAAGTTATCTATGGAATGAATCCATTTTCTTCTGGAGAAATCGTGTCTTTACAGTATTTCAAGATTAATCAGTCAACAAGAAAAATGCATACCTTACAGTTTGGATTACTTCCTCAAAAGGTGAATTTTCCATGTAAGATATTGTTTGCTGTGTGTGTGGTGTAGAATTCACAGATAAGGTCATATTTATGTTGATGCATCACAAAAACAATGATATATAGGGAATTCCGAAAAGAGAGTCGAGCATCATGGCTAAATGAGAGTATAGGATGACCTTACAATTTAGATTACTTCCTCAAAAAGGTGAATATTCCATGATGTAAGATATTCTTTGATGTGTGTGTGGTGTAGAATTCACAGATATGGTAATATTTATGTTGATAAATCACAAAACAATGATATATAGGGAATTCCAAAAACAGAGTCGGGCATTGATCATGGCTTAATGCCGAGTACTTGTAATGTCGGCAGTGCCCCCCCCCCCACTCGTTTAAGCACCCGAAAAGTGCGCCTTTTCACATACTTTAGGTAAAGTGCCCCTATTAATTTGTAAAAATGCCCCTTCCCCTTTTCACCTCTGATAAGTGCCCCTTTTAATTTGACATGTGCCTCTTTTCCGTCGACAAGTTCCCATTTTCCTTTGCAATAAGTGTCCATTTTCCATTCTCATAAGTGTTTTTTTAAAATCTCTAGTAAGTGCCCCTTTTCAGGTTCGAGAAGTGCCCCTTTTTACTTTTGATCAGGGCCTCCTCCACCTCTGATAAATTGCCCTATTCAAATCTGAGAGGTGCCTCTTTTACTTTGACAAGTGCCCCTTTTCCATTGTAAGAAGTGCCCCTTCTCTTTTTAATATTTACCCCCATTTTTAACTCGGATAAGCGCACCTTGTAAGTTGTATTTTTACATGTTCCCCTTTTCCATTCTACTAAGTGCTCCTTTTCCTTATGATAAGTGCCCCCATTAATTAAAAAAGAGCCCCTTTTTATCTCTGGAAAATGACCCTTCTCAGGCACGAGTAGTCACTCCTTTTCACTTCAGAAAAGTGCCCCCTTTACCTCCGATAAATGTCCCTTTAAAATCTGATCGGTGAACATTTTCTTTCAACTAATGCACATTGTCCTTTATTATAAGTGCCCTTTATTATAAGTGCCCCTTGTAATATCTTGTCATTGCCCCTTTTCAGGTGCGATAAGTGCCTCTTTTCACCTCTGATAATTTCCCTCTGAAAGGTATAGACCAGTTTTGGAAAAGCCCCCCTCTCAAAAAATGAAGTGGAAGCTCTTATTACCAATCATGTCAAAGAATATTTTATGACTTATACATGATGATACAAATTATTAGCGGGAAACAGCCTACTGATTGATATATTTGGTAAATTATCATATTGATCCGGACTGGATAGATATCGTGTACCGGTAGTCCCATATACATCTTTCTGTGTACAGTGCTTGTAACTTACCAAGACTGGGCCAAATTTCATATCATTTTGATGAATTTAGAACCTTGCAGTACACACCAATACTTATATGCTTAGATGATCAACCTTTTCTAATCGATTCCACAACGTTTCTTTCACAATGCAATTGCAAGACCAGAACTGGTCTTTACCTTTAAACTCCTAGAAATAGTGACGTCAGCAGAACTTAAGCTATGCCTTCTATGGTGACACTCCCTTCCTCCACTTTTTCTTTTCTTTAGCATTCTCCTCATTTAGACTATCCTTACTGCTTTCTTTCTTCGTCATATCTTTCCATGAACTCCGCTGTCTTCCTTTTCCTCATATGTCATTCACTACCAGATCTCATGCTCCTTTCACAGATTCATCATCTTCCCCAGATTGAAATTTTGATGATCAAGGAGTTCTACATGAATTCTACCAAGCGTCTTTATCATTGTACCAAGTTGTATTTTATTTTCTAGTTTTCAAACTCAGAAAAGTTACTGGCTCAAACATTGACAATTTACAAATAAATGTATACACAAAATTAAATTTTCTGTAAAATCTCCCATTTATAAATTTAAATAAATGACTATACTAATTATTCTAAGAATTTAATAAACAGGTGCCATAGAGGTAATAACATGATACTGTATTAAGCGCAGTAGAATATATTACTTTATTCATATAGGATCTGGTCTTTATAAAAGTTCATATCATTATTATTATTATTAAATAACAAAGCCCCAAAATTATACATGCATGGGTCCAATCCTTGTGACAATGAATAGTATTTTTAATACCTTGATACTTCAAATTTTGTTACCCTTTTTTCCCATTGTGACACAGAATTTAGAAGGGCACTAATTAAGTCAGCTCCCCGCAAAAAGGCCGTAATGGTCAAGTATTGTCAATAGGATTTACGAACCTTTTGCGGGTAGCCGACGTCTTACCGTTCTCCATACCACGCCTATCAAGGGCAGTGATGTTTGGTAGTTTGTTCCAAATTTACTTATAAAGCACTTACAATCAAGACATCCAGTGAGTTGTATTTACTTACATGAAATAAGGTATTTGTCAGTCCTATTACCTGAACGGTTTCACAAGACTCTCATCAGGGACTTTTAGATTTGCACGTCGACATAGTGGACTGCTACGTGTGACGTCCTTTTAAGGCACTGTGATGTCCATTTAAGGAATTGCCAGTTCCTTTAAATCTAACATTCCCTATTAATACTGATCTATAAAAGCATACCTGATAAATCATTCTTTAATATATTACAAATTATTGCTACTAATCACAGTTTCAAAAATGCAAATCCGGCTAAAAAAATGCTCAGTCTTTCACACACATAAGTGATCATTCCATGTCTTCAATCACACATCATCATCAAAGCATCACACCATGCACAAAATTTCCCTGACTGGAATTAGTAGTTGATTTGGACTTTGGTATTGTTCTGGCATTACTTGGCTCATTTTCCTTCTCTCTCTAAATCCCTCTTGAGCTTGGCAAGGGCGGCAAGTCTTGTATCTCGCCACTGGCGGCGCTCTTCGAGCTTGTCCAGAGGGATCTTTGCATCCATCTCCTTGATGATCTGCTCAAGGCCGCTCCCCGTGAACGTTGGCGTCGGACCGAAGTTACCGAGAACGTGCTCAATGCTCTGGGTGTATCGCTCCATGTAGCTCTGCATGCCTGGAAAGAAAACAAATATAAAAACAACCCTTGATACATTGTATAACCTACTAAAGAACCAGACACTTTTGTGAATTATAAAAAACAGATTGTCAATAAGATGGATGCAATAGAAGGCTCATGTTATTATCACAGTGATGGAATATGGAACAGAAACTTAGAATGTGAAGACAGTAGAAGGAGGTTTCTTGAAGAGAACAGAAAGAGCCATGATACGGAGAATGTGTGGTGTGAAACTGTCCAGCAGAAAGAACACAAGGGAGCTCATGGAAAGGTTCGGTCTGGAAGAAACTGTGGTGGAAGTGGTAAAGAGAAGTGAACTGAGATGAATGGGTCATGTGTTGAGAAGGGAAGATGATGAATCTGTGAAAGGATCATGAGATCTGGTAGTGAATGGCATATGAGGGAGAGGAAGACAGCGGAGTTCATGGTAAAATATGGTGAAGAAAGGAAGCAGTAAGGTCAGTTTAAATGAGAAGAATGCTCAAGAAAAGGAGATATGAAGAACACAGCCAGCTGCAAGAATGAATGTGAATTGCAGAACTTCTTGATCATTGACATTCCGATCTGGGGAAGATGATAAATCTGTGAAAGGAGCATGAGATCTGGTAGTGAATGGCATATGAGGGAAAGGAAGACAGCGGAGTTCATGGCAAGATATGGTGAAGAAAGAAAGCAGTAAGGTTAGTCTAAATGAGGAGAATGCTCAAGACAAGAAGAAGTGGAGGAAGGGAGTGAGTGTCATCATAGAAGGCATAGCTTATGTTCTGCTGACATAACTGTAATTTCAAGAAGTTTAAAGGTAATATAAAGTTTTGGTATGGGGTCATGAATTTGGTTTAAGTAAACAAACTGGAAGCATATGCAATCCTACAATATGCAGTGATCGTTGTCGGTTGAAACTGAGTCTAAAGTTATGAAATTGTAAATAATAAACTCTTTATGTTGTATAGCTCCATCTCAAGGTCAAGATATTAATTACCATAAGCTATAAAAAAAAAAAAGTTTCTTGATTAAAAATCGACCAATTTGCTATTTCCGTTTGGAATTATATATCACAACTACATATTTTGAGATTTTCATGGCCGCTGCTACCATTGTACGGCCGTGGGCGCTATTTGAAATTTATCCAAATTTACAGGGAGCACCGGTAAATTGATATATGCCATTTTTCTCGAAAGCAGAAGTGTTTTAGGGGATACATTTTCTCGTGCTTATAATACATCCACAGGGGCATCCAAATTTATCAAAATTGTAAAGAATCACTATCCACCCAATTTTCAAAATTTCCCAAAACTTTGTATTACCCCGTAAATATCCGTGTATAAGGCGCACCTGTGTATAAGGCGCACCCCTATTTTGGGGTAAAAAATAAATAAAAAAATTGGTTGTTTGTTTGGTTTTGTTGCCGAAAACCCACGCGGGGAAGGACCTTCATTTAACATCGAAGTGCAGTTGAAGGCGCTGATTTGTGCTTGTGAACTTGTCACAAATAATAATAACAATGTCGTTTTTAGAAGAATGTGTAAGATCATTAATGTAAATTAAAAACAATAGAGTACCTAGGATAGAACCTTGTGAACACCATTTGTTATAAAAAACAAAATTTGAGGAATTATTATTATAAACTACATATTGAGATCTATTAGAAAGATTACTTTCAAACCAAGATGACAGACAAATTTGAGTGTTGTTGTAGTTTCCGAGTGGTGAGTCAACACACTGATTACTGAGCTGGGAGAATTTGCCAGGCATAGCGCCATAAATCGAAACTAAAAAAAAAAAAAAATGGTTAACACTTACCCTCTGCATTGAGATGCATGACTTCTAAAGATCCTAGGAAGGCATATCTGAGGCCTAGTCCTGCTGACATCACTTTGTCCACATCATCGGCTGAGAGTACACCTCCCTGACAACAACAAAATGTCAAAAGCAGGAATTTCAATATACAGTAGGCTTGCGGGTGCACCATGTGAGAGAGAGGGAGGATTGAGAAGTCCTGAAAAGGACTCTCGGTAATCTTTCTTGAGGGTGTGTAGTCCTGAAAAGGACTGTTGGTGTAGTCTTGAAAAAGACTGTTGGTTATCTTTCTTAGCTTATAGTTTTGAGGAGAACTACAGCGTTCCAAGAGGATGAGTGGTGGGAGTGGCTCGATGTTTCGAACAGGTTGACTATTCGTCGTCAGGAGTGAATTTCAATGTTACTGCATGGCCCTTTATATCAAAAGATCAAGTTTTAATGAGGAAATCAGTCCTTGAGAGGCATAAGGGCATTACGTATGTGCCAAAGTTATGAGTTAACATGAATGACTACCCTACTTACATTACAAAATTAAATTAATCTATGGTACTGATATAATTCTAGTAAAAGATTTAAAGACCCACATATATGAAAAACATAGATGAGGTATAAATGAAAAAAATAATCCTTCATTAATATAAATAAATCTTTAAGCTTACAAAGTAATCTACCAGGAAATCTTCCTTGACTCAATAATGATATCAAATTATTCTATATTGAAATTTAAATACTTTCTGCAAGTCTTACAACATAAGGATGTGGATTAAATTTTGAATTCATAATGCCCTTCGTACTAGCCCTACTTTCAGTTGTTGTTTTTGTGCTGTAAAATGCTTTAATCAGTAATACACATTGGGATAAAGGCTTTCGTTGCATGAGGTATGTTCTGCCTAAAATAACATTACAAGCTCAAATACCAATCCCACCGCTGCCAACATATAGCAGAGGGCATTTCAACCATGACAGTTACCCGAGGTACCAACTATAGTACCAACCATCATAATGGTCCTAGTCAGGACTGTCAATCACATTCTGGTCAATCCAAGGGGCGGGGTGATTTCCATCAGGGGTTCATGGTAGGGTGGGTTGATCTGTAGAGATTACATAACAAAATCTAAATGCCAATCATACAGCTGCCCCCCATGATATGACAGATGGCATTTCAACCTTGGTTGGTACGGATGTGCAAACCTTGGTACCAACCTTGGTACCAACCATGCTACCAACCATTACATATGATATATATTCAGAAAATTACCTAATTCAACCAGTTTACTTTTATTTCTTAAGTTACGTAAAGCACACGAACAAAAAACCCATCAACTCTAAATGGGGGAATGGAAAATGTATTAGCTGACTATAAATCATTACTGTATAAATAATTCGAATTTATATCATCATCTATAAAAACGATTTTGAGAAAGTACACATTCAGTGTTGTACAATGTATTAGGGGTCAACCTGCTCAAATATTGGATACGAATACGAAGTTTGGATGAAAATGGCCTTGTCTATAAATCCTTTAAAGAAAACAAAAATTTCGTAAATAACGAACAAAACTGTTGGTTAACGTCAATTTGGGATATCTTTATTTTACTAAATATTTATAATAATAGAAATGAGACCTTATTGGACCCTAAAAATTTACCAATTTCTCAAAAAGATTTTGTCGAGCTATGTAAACTTTGTTTGGAAAGAAGAATCGATGAACAATTAAAACTGGATTTTATTAATGATAGGGATACCCGTAAAGGAAATAAAGTCAGAACCTTCAGACAATTTAAAACTACAATCAAGCAAGAAAAGTTTTTATCTCATATACCAAACATAAATTTAAGAAAAAATATCACCAAACTACGATTGAGCGCAAACAACTTGCTTATAGAAACGGGAAGATAAAAAAAAGACCAGAAAACGCCCCCGAATCTACGATCTTGTAGGAGATGAATGCCATATAATTATGAAATGTGAAAAATATATAGATTCATTCACGAGTAGAATTTATTGAAAAAAATAGCAATTTTGAAGAAAAATTGAGTCACTTAGAATGTCCGAAAAAATCATATCTATGAAGAAATTAGACAATAAAGATGTAATAGATATTTGTTCTTCGTTCACCAAAAACATAACTGCAGTGAGGGGTAACTTTTGGATACTATATAATTACTAATTAAAAATTTACAATCTTATGTTTTGGGTTTAGGTTTACAGTAGGTTGCAGATATTATGTATAAGTACTACTGCGTCGTTTATTGTAGGCATTTCATATACCTCATTTAACCATTTTGTATAGCATGAGTTATAATGTATTTAGAAAATTGTTATAATTAGGTTTTATGTATCTAAATCTTCGGATGTATTATGGTACATTATATTATTTACTTTATGCATTATTTTACGTCATGTTATAACAAGGACAAAAAAAAGTACTTCTGCTTTATATGATTTCAATTCTGTTTTGCTATATACACTGCATTGTAGATTTTACAAACAAAATATTGACTTGTTACATTAAATTGTACACAGATTTTGTCAAAATTTATTTCTCTCTCTTTCTCTGACATGATTATAAAATGCCTTAAACTGTTTTTTTGTTACCTTCATTCCCAATTTGTTGATGTTTTAATGATGATGGTTTACGTTTACAATAAAAGTGTAAAGCCAGGTGTGGTGGTATTTTGTGGTATAACAAAATTGAGATGTCAGTGAAAGTTTGAGCAATTCTGATTAAAAACTTAGAAAATAACACATTTTTCAAGTTGCGATTAATCAAACACAAATTGGCAACTCTGTGGCGTATCTCGCGAGGTCCTTTCCATTTGCTCCGTACTTAAAACACAAATCCGACATTTTGATTTTTTTTTTCTCCTGAAAATTTTAAATCGTACATGCACCCAAATGTAATTATTGCAAATATTTTTCTGTTCAACCCCTGCATGGTAAAATCCTATCCCGGTATCAATAACGAGGAAAATGAAAGTTTATGAAATGTGAATGGAAAGAGCAAATTGGAGAGGACCTCCCAAGATACGTTAGTGTTGCTCGTTTGTGATTGATTGATCGGACATTCAAAAGTTCTTAACTTTCTTTTTTTTAATCGAATTTGCTCAAACTTTTACTAACACGTTCCTCTCATTTTCTGCTTCTATTAAAACCAATTAATATCAGGGTGAACTTCCCTTTTAACGAGTCGTTCTAATGTTTGATGATGACAATATTGATATAGAAATGAACTTACGAAATATATAAAGTAGCAGATGAGTGAGGTTAAGCATTTATTTTCCGGGAACCCCTCCCCCCCCCCCCCCCCCCCCCTCCTGCAACACAAACCAAGATTATTGAAAAGTAAGCTCAGGTGTGTGTTTTCTCTTGGTTGGCCCACCTGAAGCAAACTCTGAATACGCCTCTGCGTGTGAAGATATGTGGGTGTGTCTCTGTGGTGGCTGTCGTTGTAGTGGGTGTGTGTGCGTGTGTGCGCGTATGCGTGTCTGTATGTAAAGTAGAGAGAGAGAGAGAGAAAGGGGGAGGGAAGACGAGAGGAGAGAAAGAAACAGATGAGAGAGGGATGGAGAGGAGTACGGAGTGCTAGTGAGAGGGAGCGAAGAAGAGAGAGAGAGAGAGAGAGAGAGTGGGGATCGTGGGTGGGGGGGGGGGAGGTGCACAGACAGAGGAGAGGATGAGTATAACGTAAACAAGAGGGTGGGGAGATATCAACGAGGAAAATGTGCACAATTGTCTATACACATACAAAGAACTTGTTGTATTTGAAACTGGTTGAATTTTTAACAGTACTTCACTTAGATATCAACTTTGATGTGCTATAATAATAATAGGCATTTCTATAGCGCCGTCTATCTAGAAATAATAACAATAACTATACAGAGTTATTGGCATATACATTCCTTTTTATCTTGACGTAGCATCATGCTAATGGAAAATGTAGCGGTTCTAATCATCTGTTCATGATGTTGAACAAACATAAAAGAAAATGTATTATTTTACACTCAACAGAACTAATTCTAGTATCAATCAAAAGTAAAATGTTAAGCTTAAGATTCGTGATTGAAACTAGAGTGAATGGTTATCAGATCAGAGGGTATGAAGATTTGGCTTACCTCGAAAGAGTGCGGTGCGGTGCAGTCTTTTTGATCATACTTACCTTGAAACGTCCAACACCTTTGAAACGCTGGATCTATCAACTGACAACACCACCGGCTATAGTGGTAGTGATGCCGAGCAGGACACTATCAGCAGCTCTTCCTCTTCCGCTGCTAGTTTTGGCCCACCGCAGCACACATCCTCACCCATGAAGTGCAGGAAGAAGGTATCCAAGCCAGAGCAACAACTTCGTAGCATGAACATTCTTAAAGTAAATTTCCAGAGTATAAGGAACAAGAAGGAGGAATTGGCTGTTCTTATAGATTCAACAAAATCCAGTTTCATCATTGAGACTGAAACCTGGCTCAACAGCTCAATTTCCACCTCAGAGATTGTCCAGCTCAACTACAGTGTAGTGCGAAAAGATCGCGTGGGTGGTCATGGTGGTGTCCTACTAGCAGTAAGAAGTGACTTGATATATCACACTTTGCAGAGTGAGTCAAAACAAAGTTTACACCTAGAAAATTGCTAATTGTTTGAAAAATTGTCGATGAACATTAAATTGTTATATGTCTTATGAAGAAGAGTTTTATCACAAATCATTTGGTACCATTTTTGTGAGGTATGTGTTCACGCTTGGATGAACAGGAGACATTGTTTGCGAGAGTGCAAAAATCGACTTACGCCAAACTTGCTTATGTGATGTTTGAATAAAACAATTGGGATTTGGATATTAATTCGGTCTTTGCAGATCCAAATAACATCTCTAACAAAATTAATCATGCCAACAATATCAAATATCGAATATCAAGTATCAACGAACATTTGTGCGTGTGTGTGTGGGTGTTTGTGACTTTGCCCTTTGCAAAAAACATATGCAATGCATTTCATTTGATACATTCAATTCATTCTCTCACCCCGCTAATCCCTACATAATATATACTGTAGGCATCACTTTGGCGCAAGTCGATTTTTGCACTCTCGCAAACAATGCCTCCTGTTCATTCAAACGTGAACACATACCACACAAAAATGGTACCAATTGATTTAGGATAAAACACTCTTTCATAAGATGTATAATAATTTACTTTTCATATATGATTTTAAAAATAATTAGCAATTTTCTAGGTGTAAACCTTTTTTTGACTCACACGGTATACATCAAATTGGCATTTGGAAAAGCCTAACGGTATCTTCATCCCAACAGCAACACGCATTACGATTGAACAACTCTCTGTCCAGAACAGAAAGGCAGTCTTGTGGATAGGTGACTTCAACCTACCAGACATTGATTGGGAAGACTTAAGTGTGAGTGGTCACAGTAACCCAGTTTCTATCAAGAGATTCATATACATCATGCAGAACTGCAACTTCCAACAGATGGTTACCTTTCCAACACGAGGAGATAATGTACTTGATCTCTTCTTAACCAACAGACTAACGCTGATCAACAAATGTTCTCTACTACCTGGTCTTGGTGATCATGACATCGTTGGTGTTGATTCAGATGTAACAACGAAAATGAGTAAGCCGGAGAAAAGTGGAGAAAAACAAAAACTTGTTGAGAATGTTTTTTTTTTTAAGGAATGCCGTCAGTTTCAGCGATTTACTGAAGAGAGCTCTGTGCATGAGATATGAAACTGTTCAAGATTGGCCTGCTAAACATGATGTACACTCACGTACCAGCGAAAATGGCATCCATTCGCTTTGTTCAGCCACAAGTCACAAGGTCTGTGAAACGGTTACCAAGGACGAAAAAGCTGGCCTTCAATCATTCTCGAGCAACTGGCAGACAGGAGGATTTTAACAGATATCGTCAGGTCAAGAAATCAATTCAAGCAGCTTGCAAACGAGCCTCCAAAGAATACATCAACAACATCATCAGCCCCGACTCCACGGCAAACCACAAACGATTCTGGAGTTTCATGAACAGTAGGATGGACGACAGTACCGGAGCAGCCCCACTAAAAGACATCTATGGGAAGACAGATTCAGACAGCATGGAGAAGGCCAACGTATACTAAATCACCAGTTTACATCAGTATTTAACTGGAATGAAGTCATGTCAGCCATGAAGGATAAAGGACCAAGTCCACTTCCAGACATGAATTAATTCCGGATCTAACCAGCTGATGTCTACAAACTGCGTTCTTCTCTCCACATACATAAAGCTACTGGACCAGACAAACTTCCTGTACAATTACTAAATGAGCTGTCATTAGAAATAACTCGAGTATTTTCTATGCTTGTTTAAGCTTCACTGAATCAAGGAGACGTTCCAGAGGACTAGACGAGGGCAGACGTAGTTCTCATCTTTAAGAAGGGAGAACAGAGCCGAGCAGTCAACTACAGGCCTGTGTCACTGACATCTATTGTCTGCAAGACATTGGAACACATCGTATGCAGCAGTATCCTTGAGTATCTTGATGATTTGCACATTCGGTCAGATGCTCAACATGGATTCCGGAAGAGACGGTCTTGCGCATCCAAACTTGTCCTTACTATTCAAGATCTTTCCCCGGAAAACCACCCTCTAGGACTACTACCCCCACCCCTAAAAAATATCTGCTAGGACAATTACCCCCTCCCGGACAAGCAAGGACAACCACCCACGAGGGTAATTGTCCTCGGGGGGGGGGGGGTGGGGGTGGGTGTGATTGTCAAAGAGGGAAATTTTCACCGGGGGGTGTAATTGTCCACGGGGGGGTAATTTTCCATGGGTAGTTTTCCCACACTACTAAAACAGCCAACTCTGTACGGTGCTTCCTGCAAAAAAAAACCAAATACAAAGAAGTTGCTGTACAAGACATGAGTACGCCCTGTGATGGAGTATGCTGCAATTTAGTGGAACCCATTCACCCCGGAGAGCATCGGAAAGGTGGAAATGGTGCAACGCCGTTGTGTACCCTTTGTCCTGGGTGACTATCATCGCACAAGCAGCGTCACAGCCGTGCTGAATCAACTTCAAAGGGCAAATCTGCAGGAAAGAAGGGCGCAGCAGAAAGTATGCACGGTTTACCGCATACTCCACGGCATGGTTGATCTTCCAGTCACCTACTTCATACTAGTCCACAGCCTGGACTGTTTCCGTTTCGCGCGCGTCATCAGCTGAGAAAAACACGTATTCAACGCTGAACCGTTGACAGTAGTCCTTGCCTCCCATTCTAACGGTTGTTTTGGGGGATCACACGATTAGTGGAGACACCGTGCTCTGTGTGGGATGCGTGTTAGGGGAGGAGAATAAGATGGTTGAATAAAAACAATTTTATAAAAACGGACAGAATTTGAAATAGCTTTATACCAGTTTTTGGTCCACGAATTCGTGGAAATCCACAGAAGTTCCGTGTCCCCTTCCAACTCTGCTACCCCACACCACATTTTACCCATATGCTATCCGACTGTGGAACTCCGTACCATCTGCTGTCGTCAATTGCACCTCTTTAGAACTTGTTAAGCAGAAGGTGCAACACTCTAGGCTCCGTTGAGCTTTGAATGTTTTTCGTGCACGAAGAGTTCTTGTGGAGCCTTTTTACTTGCACTGTACACTCGGCACTTTACAAGCACAAGGTATGGTATACGCCGACGGTTGTCGGTACCATACTGGAAGAAGAAAAGAGGAATGATTTAATAACTTGAGGGCACTATTGATGGACAGGATGCGTTCATATGGATCTGCACGTAAATAATGAAGGAAAGGAACAAAAATGATGTACCTGAAAAAGAAAATGAGTGAATGTGCTCATCGAGTGTGCGCGTAAGAAAACAAGATGGATGAAGGAGAGCAGTACTCTCGCCATAACCGCCTAATAGTCTTTGTTGCCCAGAAAAAAAGGGTAAGACACTAATAAGATTGTACCTGACCTAGCAAAAGAGATTGAAGTTGATCTCATATTAGAAGACATCGAAAGGAGTCATTGTGTTGGTCCAAAGAATGAAGATGGACTCCGAGGCATCATCTTGAAGTTCAAATCTTACGCGCCGCGAATTCCTGTCCAAGAGAAAACTGTTGAAAGGAAAGGAAAGGAAAAATCAATCGAAACATGAAGCAAAACTGAAAAGAAATCATGATGACTTTAAAGCACTGCAAAATCAGAAATAAACCCTGAAACAGACTCCACGAACGGACATCTCTGAAGACTAAACTCATCCGCTTAAACTTGTAATTAAGTTTTTTAGCATCACCTTCTGGAAGAAATTGAATTCAATATGTTGTAGTACCAAAGAAGCACATATATATTATGAAGGTTATTAAACAGATCAGGGATTGCAATGTAACAACATTACCGGAACCCAGAGTCTGTGAAATTCTCAACGATGACGTCGTCGTTTCACTTAAAGTCACGGATGTGACTCAAGTGGTTGTCATGGACGTGACGGGACTGATATTGGCTGTTGTGCCGGAATCTGTTATCATAAACGTGACGAAATTAGAATTCGTAGTTCCTGCTGGGGTGAAAGATGTGATCGTGACAGGAATGGTTTTTAGAGGATGTAACAGGTATGGAAGACGAGGTTGGAGTAGAAGAAGACGTCATGGATGAAACAGACATGGTTAATGAGTTAGTTGCAAAGAAACATATAATGCAAAAGCAGTACATGCATGCATGAACGTGTGCAATGAGTTCTTACCTGGTGAAGTAGGTGTCTGTGGACCTGTAAAAAAAGCAACACAAAATGAACTATATTTGTAAAGCGCTTAGAGACATTTGTATTAAGCGCTATATAAAAATTAAATATTATTATTATTATTATTATTATTATTATTATTATTATTATTACAATTAATTGGTTATAAAATAAATCATAACAATGAAGCATTATTGTTTATTTATAATTCGAGAAAAGTGATATACGCTAGACGTAGAACCATGCCATTCTAATGTATATATATATATATATATATATATTGTAATAATTATGCACACCTTCAAATGACCACGTGTAAAGTATGATAGTAAACCTGTTTTAATCTTTCAAATAATATATTGTTGTTTTTCGAAAGAAATCTATAATGCATGCATTTTAGGCCATATTTTAATGTACTTTCATCTTGTTAATTCATATCATCACTCACAATTTTTAACTACAACTAATCAAGAAACAAGTATGCTCATGCAATTAAATAAGATATGCTTTGATACCTGTACTATTTGATTAAGAGATCAGTGATCAATCAGCAAGAATAAGCGAAACATCAATCAGCCATCGACAAATTGTAATATCTAATTAGAATTGTAATATCTGAATAGTTATAGTCCATATATATGTACATGTTTACAATTTTACATTTGCTCTTGAAGGGAGTTTGTGATATTATCTGATGAAGACAAATACAGTTACTGAAAATGCAATTTGTCATTACCTTCAGTCGAGGGTGATGTCGAATCTAGACGTCGAAAGAAAAAATTAAAATAGAAGGAAAAAAATGGGATTTAAAAACTGTTAGAATTACAATGTATATTCATGCACATAAATATCGTCTTTATTTCCATACAAGATCAGTTTATAATATTATAATACATAGGTTTACGGACATCACACCTAACCGACGTATTGTGAAACAGTCGTCGAGACCCACTCGAAAAATAGGCTATGGCGTTTAACAATATTTTCCCCGTCTTAACAAGAGGACTGAAACCGAAAAAAATGAGGTTAAATCGGTTAAACAAAGTAGACAAAATAGACAAAATAGAAAACTCTGAGCTAAAATAACACTTCACGTTTATTTGGCTGATATTTAGATGTACAGCTAGAACGGTTTGTTCAAGTTATTTTGCATACCTATTTCAATTGTAACGTTGAACGAACACGACGCATCGTTTCCAGCTCTGTCAGAGACAATGAAAGTGTAGGTTGTCGTTCCTACAGGATAACTACCCCCTGGGCTTATGAAGGGTAGGAAAAAAAGATCTAAGGGTTCGCCAGAGTTATCGGAAATGCTTTTGAGCTGGAATGCGAAATCAACTGAGGTGTAATCCTGGTATATGTCATCTGGACAGACGATTACAGGGGGCTCCCGATCTGTAAGTGATATGGAAACAATAAACAAATATTTATCATACCATCTGATTCCATGATGACGCTTTCTTTTGATGTCACACTTAATAATTCGGATATGATTCATATCTCAACACACTCAATGGCGTCAAGAAATAAAACTATATCCTACGATCACATTTGCACATAGTATGTAAGAGGTAGTGAGATATTTACTTGCATCATCAATTTTGAGCAGAAAATTTCATGAAGCTGCTAGCCACTTGACCGTGCTTATCCAAGTTTGAGTCTTTAAACCAGGGTAGTGATACACAATCACACAAGGAAGTATAAATATGCATCCAGTCGTGTAAGTACCAAACCGATCAGTTTGGACAGACAGATAGGAAGTCCATCGTAATATAAACCAAGGTGTGTATTAAAACCAACTTAATTACGACTTTATTTCAGGTATCTCAAGTCTTACCTTCTACGGTGACCCTTGCTTCTGTACATGACTGTGAGAGCGTCCCATCTGATATCGTAATGGTGACAGTGTGTGCTGATGGTGAGATGGCTAGTCTGGGACTGCTAGAGCTACCATCGTATGTTCTCATCATCTTGATGCTTCCATAGGGTACATACGTCATAGACTCAGGAATGTCAGGTGGATACGTGACGTTGAATTGTGGGTCTTGGTAAGTGTAGAAAGGTTCACCAGAATCTGTCCCGATAATTAGATCCACGGATGCGGGGCAGGCGATTGGAAGCTCTTGTACTGTAGGCATAAAAGTAGTAAGAAATAATGTTATACCACATGGAAATGTATTTTATATAACCCACAATATAAAGTAAGACGAAATGGGTTTGAAATGAGTTGTCATAAGTCCAATTTATCTTCCTAAAATGATTTTAACCTCCCTAAATATCATTAAAAGTTATTAGCTGGACCCAACTGTCCTCAGGGCATGTTTAAAAAAAAAACATGATTCGGAAAAACATTCTCACGTGTTATACAAAATTTCTTGGTGCTTTTCCTTGACAAATAGTCAAATTTCCTTTTTTATTTTGATATTGCGATGTAAACAAACTAACTGTAAGAAAATAAAATAAAAATAAGCAATAAGTAGAGCCCTACATAGAAACAAAGATTAAATGGTAGAAATTCTTGTCTGAAACCTCCATAGGTTAGTGTGTTATTGTTATTTATATTCTAACATTGTCATTTTAGTGGCATGTTCTCTTATGTTCCGGATATTTGAACAAAAATAGAATTAAACAAATTGTCAATCAACATTATCATTTGTATTATTTTCCCTCAGCAATTCAGTTCAATATGTACATCGCAACCAGATGCATTGCAACCAGATGCATTGCATATTCCGTGCGATCAAGGGGGCACTGGCACTCATGGACGACAGGGGCATCGATCTTACCTGGGAATGAAATGCAAATTAAAAAAGACTATATAATGTTCTCTGTGAAGTGGTCCTATTATCCTCTTTCTTTCTTTTGTTTTTGTCCCTGTGATCTTTTTTTAAATGTTGCGTATCAAGAGGGAAGAGGATTATCCCCATTCCCCCCGCATCTGTGCCACTGGTTACAACGATCATGGACCCTACTACAGATGGACTAATAATGAGAGTCTTACTTTGATCACATCATGACCACCGCCACCTGAAAATGTGTATGTTGATTAGGACATTCATTTGACGCGACAATGTTGATTATGTAATCACGCATCATCACAGACAAAGGGACCTTTTACATTTCTTCAGATTATTTTCGCTGGGCCAGGGCCCAGAGGGTAGTTTTCAGGAAAACTATCGTAATTTAAGACCAGTTAGGGGAGCAGTGAACCCCAAAATAAGACAATTTGTGTGAGTTTAGATTGATTATTAAAGAAGAGGACACTGGTGGACATACATCTGGACCTGCCAAACTTTGAAACAAACATATTCTGTACTGTCCTATTACCTTCTATTCCTTGGAAACTGATAGGATTAGTTTTAAAAAGAAGTTTAAAATCATTGTGTTATAGCCAAATTTACAGGTTTCACTTGTAAACTACTTCTAATTTTCTGTTAAAAACTTCATACACGTTAATATTCATATTTATGCCACAACTGCACATGCATTTCCTTGATTTTAAGCGATTCAGTTTCTTTTGCGCAGGGGTTTTGTAGATTCTTCAAGTCACAGTTCTGTCTTTTTTATGGCTGACTGGCGGCGGTCGTGATGAGGTCAAAGCTTGGAAGTATGTTCGGGATGTCATTATGATACTTTTGACAGAGTCAGGTGCATGAATATATTATGGTACCGTTCAGTGTCCATTTGTAGTAGGTCCATGCAACGATAAACAACTTCATTCTCCAAATCATCCTGCAACATACACATTACATACACTAGTTGAAGAGACATGGCAACATGAACTTATAAAATGATGGACTTAATTATTTACCGCTTGAGTTGTTTTTGATGAATGGAAAGAGAAAAATGCATGTACGAAATCTGTTTAATGCAATAGAAATCTCCATTTATTTACAAACATTGGGTCTTTCCCTGCAAATAATGATTATACATTAATGATGATAGTACTTGTAGTATGCTAAGCTAAATGATACATGTATATATGGCACACCCGATGCAATACAATTGGAATCATATAAGGATTGATGCATTTAATGAATCTAAAAATGATCGATCTTTTCTCAACAATCCCACGATCAAAATTTGGGAATTATTTTGTCTTAACCCATCTTTTTTTATTTGTTATCACAGATAGTGTTTACCTATATCAGGTTGTAGAATATATATTGCTATCATTATGAAGAGCATTTGTTGTGTATAACGACAAATACCCCTAGAATATCATTCTGGACATGTAACCATCATAACACACTAAGACAACTATTCCCAATAGAGCAATGACCTTCCTTACAACTATAACTACCCTCTAGAAGGAGAAAAAAACAAAGATTACCTCATCTAATATATTGACTAGCAGCTCTAGCATCATTCATGGAATAAATTTACTTGATATTAATTAATATTGTAAATGTTTATATTCTATAAACTTCACCTGAGTAAACATTATCAAAAAATTTGTTAAAATTCACCTCGTGTGGGGTGAAAAGGAAGCAAGCATGTTACATTGTGTAGTTGGCTCACAAAACACACACGAATTGTGAAGAAAATAGAATTATTATAGATATAATGATTGCTCTGAGAGGCATTGCTTTTCTATAGGCTCAAGGAGACGTTACATCCTGTTATAACCCCGAGGAAGCAAAACATGAATTATTATAATGTACAAAATACAAATTAACAATAATGAATAAAAAGTAGATAACTAGTAGTCAATAATTATTGATTGACTCTCCTCCATACGCATTATACTTACAACTAACAGTGACATTAAATGTACAGCTCCCTATCGCAGTCGATGGCGATGACACCGGATAAGCCGTCACTGTGACCTCATTAGTGCCTACTGGCAACCTGTTAGTCGGACCGTATTCTGCGGGGTCAAAGGTGAAGGTATAGCTAGTGCTTCCAGAAACGGTAACGTTGTAGGTGTCAAAGACGTTTGATCTATCCGATTCCACGGAATTGCAAGTCACATCTGTAGAATGAAAGAACGCAAAGGCATGAATTGGAAAGAAAGGTATCATCTACTTTTAAAACATTATGCCTTAACATGAATAATTTACCATTTAATTTGAGAATCATAACTTCCTTAGAGACCTTTAAATCCGAGCTGAAATCTTATCTTTTTTAACAATACCTGACCTTGGCACTATGACACTCATCCAAACTTTCTCGTCCAAACTTTCTCATTCTTTCTATTTTTCTTGTGCGCCTCGGAATAGCACTAGGGCGCTTTAGTAACGAGACGGAAGTCAAAGAGGACGGGCGAATTCACTCAAACGAGATCAAATAATGTATGCAGTTCGGATTCTGTCTATTGAAATACTGTTATTCTTAACAGGTGAACGAAATAACTTGTATTGAAGCACTTCACATAGATTTATGCATTAAATTTGGTTACATAACGAAAATGGTCTATTGTACGGCGATACAACTCTTCCGTCGAGTTTAGGGAACGAACGCTATAATGGCTGAGACAGGTCGTGAAAATCAACAAGACGGAGAAAATTCTGGTTCGCACATGCGCAGATTGATTATTTTGCCTAGTTACCCTCGTCGTTGCCTTCCGGCATTTTCGTAATGTAACCAAATTTAATGCACACGTCTTTGTGAAGTGCCTAATAGACAGAATCCGAACTGCATACATTATTTGATCTCGGTTGAGTGAATTCTCCCGTCCTCTTTGCCTACCGTCTCGTTACTAAAACGCCCTATTGTCTAGATAGACGGCGCTGTAAAAATGCCTAGTATTATTATTATTATTATTATAAGTCATAATCATTGCTATATTAATGCAACTACCATTTTTTGCTGATGCGTTCACCTTGGAGAGACTGAAAATAGAACAAGGATTATGGAGGCGATTATAATGGTACGTGACGACGTTTGGCTTTTTACATGATGAGATTACTGTCTTGTTTTCATTTTTGCACGTTTCATGACCCTTCCAGTGGCATGGTGAAACCATCTAATATTTGATGTTGTATGTATGTCTCAACAATGAAAAGCAAGCATAATCTTTATTTTGAAAAGGAATGACCCGTAGAAAATCACTTATCCAAAGTTGCTGAAAGGGTAGTTATTGGCACACCTCTCCCCATTCAACTTGGCAGAATTTCTTTTTCAAAAGAGAGATTGAGTGAACTTTGGAACGATCATTCTTTTCGTCTCATTGATTCTCTTGTTATAGTCAATATTGAAACTTTTTTTTTAATTCCTCGGTACTCAACACGTTGAGGGAGGAACGATCTGAACAAATGTCAATTGATATCACCATGATCGTGGTACAGATAAGAATGCCACGTTGCAATCTTTATAATTTTCGCTTATCGTCTGTTTTTAGATTTTCCTTTACTAAATAACATAACATGGCTGAATCGGGGAGGATGGTACCAAAGGCAAGTTACCGACTCAATAATGAGATGAGATGACAAAATGATGTTATCGGTGAATTTTTACACCATTTGACATGAGCACTGTCCCTCTTTATTTCCATACAAGATCAATTTCTAATATTATAAAACATAGGTTTGCGGACATCACGCCTAACCGACGTCTTGTGAAACCGTCGTCGAGACCCACTTGAAGAATAGACTATGGCGTTGAACAAAGATTTAGTTTCGTCATAACAAGACGACTAGAACCGAATAATATAAAGTTAAGCTAGTTGAACGAAGCACACACAAAATAGAATTATGATTACTAAATGTTTTTACGTGCATTTGGCTGAAATTTTGATGTTCATATAAAACGGTTTGTTCAAGTTATTTTGCATACCTATTTCAACTGTAACGTTTAACGAACACGACGCATTGTTTCCAGCTCTGTCAATGATAGTGAAAGTGTAGGTTGTCGTTCCTACAGGATAACTAGCCTCTTGGCTTATGGCGGGTAGGAAAAAAACATCGAAGGGTCTGCCAGAGTTATCGGAAATGCTTTTGAGATAGAATGCGGCATCCACTAAGATGTGATCCTGGTATACGTCATCTGCACAGACGATTACAGGGGGCTCCCGATCTGTAAGTGATATGGAAGCAATAAACAAATATTTATCATACCATCTGATTCCATTATGACGCTTGCTTTTGATTTCACACTTAATAATTCGGATATTGTTCATATCTCAACACAGCCAATGACGTCAAGAAATAAAACTCGTTCTTTAGATCACATTTGCTTGTAGCATGTAAGAGGTAGTGTGATATTTACTTGCAGCATCAATTTTGAACAGAAAATGTTGCTTGTAGTATGTAAGAGGTAGTATGATATTTACCTGCAGCATTATTTTTGAACAGAAAATGTCATGAAGCTGCTAGCTACTTGACCGTGTTTTTGCAAGTTTGAATCTTTAAACTAGGGCAGTGAAACACTATCACACGAGGAAGTATAGCTATCTAGACATGCATCCAGTCCTGTAAGTAACAAACCGATTAGTTTGGACGGACAGATTGGAAGTCCATCGTAATATAAACCAAGGTGTGTATTCAACCCGACTTCATATTAAGACTTTATTTGAGGTATCTGAAGTGTTACCTTCTACGGTAACCCTTGCTTCTGGACATGACTTTGAGAGTGTCCCATCTGTTATCGTAACGGTGACAGTGTGTGCTGATGGTGAGATGGCTAGTCTGGGACTGCTAGAGCTACCATCGTATGTTCTCATCATCGTGATGCTTCCATAGGGTACATACATCATAGACTCAGGAATGTCAGGTGGATACGTGACGTTGAATTGTGGGTCTTGGTAAGTGTAGAAAGGTTCACCAGAATCTGTCCCGATAATTAGATCCACGGATGCGGGGCAGGCGATTGGAAGCTCTTGTACTGTAGGCATAAAAGTAGTAAGAAATAATGTTATACCACATGGAAATGTATTTTATATAACCCACAATATAAAGTAAGACGAAAGGGGTTTGAAATGAGTTGTCATAAGTCCAATTTATCTTCCTAAAATGATTTTAACCTCCCTAAATATCATTAAAAGTTATTAGCTGGACCCCAACTGTCCTCAGCTCATGTTTTTTGTTAAATCCCTGATTTGGAAAAAAACAATACTCACATGTTCTACGAAATTTCTTGGTGCTTTTTCTTGACAAACATTCCAATTTCGTTTCATGTACTTGAAGATATTGCGATTTAAAGAACCTAACTTTAAAAAATGAAAATAAGGAATGAGGAGCGCCCTAGATAAAAACAAAAAAGAAATAATAATAATAATAATTAACAACATTTGTATAGCGCTTATCACAAAATATGTCTCTAAGCGCTGAAGAAAAATAGAAATAGAAGGAATTACAGCCAAATATTAAGTTATACATAATAGATAGTGGACAATCGAGGGGGCTGCATATGCAAAGGAAAAAGACTATTTAACAAAAAAGTAGGTTTTTAACATGGATTTGAATTTGTCTGTTGAATCTGCTTGTTTTATACATTGAGGTAAATTGTTCCAGAGTTGAGGGGATGCTGCATAAAAAGTTCGGGAACCATAAGACTGGGTATTGGTGGCAGGAACTATTAAGAGTGATTTCTTGTTTGAGCGCAGGTTGCGGGAGGGTAAGTATTCTGATATCAGCCTTTGAAGGTAGACTGGAGCTGTTTTTGTCAAACATTGGAAAGTCAGCAAGAGGATCTTAAAATCAATTCGTTCCCGGACTCTTAGCATGTGAAGCTCCCTTAACAGTGGAGTGATGGACTCACGTGAACGACGCTTTGCAATAAGTCTAGCAGCTGAATTTTGTACTCTCTGCAATTAGTTAATTTGTGCATCAGGAAGACCATACAGAAGACTGTTGCAAAAGTCAATACGAGACATGACCAGTGACTGAACAAGTCTCTGGGTGGTCTTTTTAGTAAGAAACTGACGGATGCTACCGATTTTATGCAACGCAAATGAGGCAGATCTGCATACATTGTTCACATGAGTCTTCAGAGATAGATTATTATAAAATGTGACCCCAAGGTTTCTAGCACCTGTAGAACATTCTATGTCAGTACCATCAAGACATACATCATCAATCGGACTACAAGTCCTATGTCTGCTAACAAAGTGTATACACTCCGTCTTATTTTCATTTAATATCAATCCATTCTGTATGGACCAATTCTTAATGTCTGTAAAACATGCACTGAGTCTTTGTAGAGCAACAGCATGGTTATCCTTCTTTAGCACGAGGTAAATTTGAGTGTCGTCTGCATAAGTCATACACGATATGCCATGGTGTTTAATGACATCCTCTAATGGAGACGAGAAAAGTGTAAATGCTAACGGACCGATAACAGATCCTTGGGGTACTCCGAAGTTCGAAGAGCTGACATGTGACTCACAGTCGCTAACAAAAACAGACTGAGTTCTGTTAGTGAGGTAGGATCGAAACCATTCCAAGGCTGTGTCTTTGAGTCCAAATCTATCATGCAAACGGCTTAGAAGGGCATCATGACTCACAGTGTCAAAGGCTGCAGAATAGTCCAACAGCAACAGAATCGCTTCATCGCCTTTATCCAGGGAAAGTAGAATGTCATTTGAAACTTTTAGCAGGGCAGTTTCACAACTATGATGTGGCCGGTATCCTGATTGCATCTCAGAATATAAGTTATGCTCGGACAAATACTCCTGGATTTGTTTTAACACGACTCTCTCTACAGTCTTTCCCAACCCAATAAACAAAATCACGTGAAAATCACGTCAATATCAAGGTATCGACTTGAGGAGAGTTACGTTCTTCAAACACCGGATATTTACGTAAATGTGTTAATACGTTTATTGCACTAGGTCACTTAAAACACACGTACACTAAATCACGCAATTGTCACTGCAATATCACCATTATAATAACGTGATTATCCCTACCTTGGAGACCATGGTTTGTAAACCTAATACTCCCGTGTTTTTTTGGTTATGAAATTACATCTTCATCAACGAAATTATCGCATCACAGAAACACGTGAAGCGTTAGTGATAGTTTTAGTCAAAATATCTGCGTGAAATTCACGTGAATATTAACGTCGAAGAGGAAATATGTTACTGTAACCCGCGTTCAACCCAATAATTACGCAAATGTTATGGCCCGGTCCCACTGGCCGATGGACACAAAACGTATGCATAAAGGACACAGCGGACGAGCACAATTTCGGGGGTGGCTCCATCCGTTTTCATCCGCTCCAGAAATGGACAAAATTGGCGAAAACAGAACGGAAAATAACGGACGTGGGTAGTATGTAGCGGGGATGTTAAACGGATGTTCATCGGAAGCCTAGCGGATGAAAGCGGATGGAAGTGGATGACAGCTTTGAATACTTTATATACGAGATGCATACGCTTACATCCTTTCTATTTCCGTGCTATTAACGATGTATAGACGTTCCATGTACCTTATCTTTCCTCCCTCTTTCCGTTTTCAGCTGCAGCGGATGTGAGTTGCGAGGATGCCCAGAGGATGCAGAGAGGATACAGCGGACGTTTAACGGATGATAACGGACATAGAACGTTTGTTGCTCGTATTTGTCGCGGATTTACATCGTACACGGCGGAAGTTCATCCGTTCTAAAAGTTTTGTGCAGCTCAAAACTTTTTGCGCGGATGAAATCAGAGTGGACGGATGCTCGATGGATAGAGCGTATGAAACACGTAAGCAATGAGTACACAACGGATGCATAGCGTTTTCCAACGGATGGCAAGATTTTTTTACGTTTTACGTCCTCTTTGCATCCGTAAGTGCAGTGGGACCGGGCCTTTACACAATAAATAAACCAAAATAATGACGTTCTCATCCCGGAAGCAGTTCGGGATTAGAGGGGGTGGGGGGGGGGGGGGGGGTTGCAAACATCCCAGAGGAGAAAGATAGTTGCAGCTGGTCCAGTTGATGAACCAATTAATGCCAACTGGTAACCCCGGAAATTGAAATGGGCTAAATGATCCAGTTGATCCAGACCAGTAAGAATTCAACTGGTCTATAGCTGAGCCATTAGAACCATTTGGTAAAACTTCCAACCAGTTGAACGGCAACAACCCTTCAATACTGGTACGTCTGTATTTCCAATGTAAAGGCATTGGTAATAAGTAGACTTACATAATTTAATTAATCGAAATTTTTTGTACTTGTATTTTATTGAAATTATTTTAGTTCTAGTTAATGTTTTCCTTATTCATGTTTAATTAAATGTAATTTATACGAAGTAGCGAAATGTCCTAATAACTGGTAATTTATATTTGTAGTATTTTCGAAATGAATTGCATATAACTAAATCATCAGTAATTAAGAAATATGCTGTAAATTCAGATAAACTGTTTAAAAAACATAGATCTGCACGCACCCCATATTCAATATGCAAATTAATTTGTGTCAGCTGGTTCAACTGGAAACATGCCAACAGTCAGCCAGCAGTCATCAACTGGTGCAACTGGAAATATGCACATAGACCGGTTATCAACTGGTGCAATGAAAAGATGCCAACAGTCAGTTATCAACTGGTGAAAATAGAAATATGCCAACAGACACGGGATTATCACCACGGAACTTAAATGGTAACTGTGAAACCATCAAGACACCAAGAATAACTCATTTTTCACACCTGGAAATCATGGAATACCCAGCTTAGATTAATAATCCGTTTGAGTCACGAGATCATCACCGCGGAACTGCTGGCAACTTTGAATACCATTTACATAGGTGTTTTAAGACACCTAATAATTACTAATTTTTCACACCTAAATATCACGAATTCACAGCTTAGATTAGTAATCAGTTTTAGCTACGTGATCATCACCAATAAAGTTATGGTAACTTTGAAACCATTTAAAAAGGTGTTTTAAGACACCTAATAATTACTAATTTTTCACACCTAAAAGTCACTTATGCCCAGCTTAGATTAATAATCCGTTTGAGTCACGAGATCATCACCGCGGAACTGCTAGCAACTTTGACTACCATTTACATAGGTGTTTTAAGACACCTAATAATTACTAATTTTTCACACCTAAATATCACGGATTCACAGCTTAGATTAGTAATCAGTTTTAGCTACGTGATCATAACCAAGAAAGTTATGGTAACTTTGAAACCATTTCACAAGGTGTGTAAGACACCTCAGAATTACTAATTTAATATAACCAGAGATTCACGGACAGAACAATAAGACGATTAGCCGGTGTAGGTAACGTGATTATTACCATCAACCTTGGATAACCTGTGAAACCAATCGATTAAGGTGCTTACAAGACCAAATAATTACTTATTTATCACCACCATCGGTTAACGGACAAAAAACTCGTTGCTTGGTCAAGTGGTTATTTGGTCATAAACACGTGATTTACAGAGGTAAGTGGAATCACGTTACTCCAGTCGCGTGATAAATTGGTGGTTTTTAGGTTAGATGAAAACGTGAACAGGAGTACCTTTTTTGTTTAAATGAAAGCACGTGTCGATAACGTTTAAATTTAGTTCAAAAGGCACCATACTTTAAAATCACTTAAAATACACTCCCCAAAGAGGTTACTTTTTAGTGTTTTGTTTATTGGGAAGAACTGAAGATTAGATACAGGCCTGAAGCTCTTTAGATCATCAGGACTCAGCTTCGTGGACTTCAAGAGTGGAGTCACATGAGCATGTTTGAGAGAATCAGGGAAATGACCATTGGTGATTGAAGCATTCACAATAGATGTTATAACCGGGGTTAACTCATTAATACATTTCTTTAGCAGCCAAGTAGGGATTGGGTCGAGTCGGGTGGAAGTTGAACGAGACTTTAGGATCAGTCCACAAACTTGGCCCTGTGATATTGGAGAAAAGGCATCAAAACATTGCAGAGTGCTTCGAAAACTGATATGGGCTAGATTACTTGAAGGTAGATTCTCGAGAGACCTGACAAGGACATCAATCTTGGTGCTGAAGAAATTACAGAAACGATCGGCAAGAGATAGACGAGGGTCATCATCTGACGGGAGGACCATCCTTGTGGAGGTAGAAGACAAACGATCAACTCTTTGAAAGAGTTGATGGGTATCACATTCATCAAGTTGTTCAGAGTAATACTCCCTTTTAGCCATGGCAAGTCGGTTGCTGTAGAGACGACATTCATCCTTCATGATTTGGCGGTCAATTTCGGCTCTGGAGAGACGATATTTTCTCTCAAGTTGTCTTACCCTCTGCTTACTCTTACGGAGATCATCGGTAAACCATCGAGAGTGAGGCCTTGCAGTTACACATCTAGTAATCAGAGGGGCATGCTTATCAAGTAGAGCTTGAAGTACCCTGTTATATTGAACAGCTTGCTGGTCAAGACCAGAAGCAGGTGATCTATAAAGTTCAGAATCTAGAATATCCTCACGGAAAGCTTGGATGTCAATGTCCTTCAGTTTGCGAAAACTGATGTCAATTTTCATAGGATCCGGCTTCTTGATGTTAAGTTGGCAGCCGACAGATGAGTGGTCTGAAGGAAGAAATTGTGATGAGTGAACATTAAAAAATCACATCATCCGACGCTCTTGTAAGAATTAAGTCCAACGTATGGCCCTTTTGATGGGTGGGAAAGTTAACGTGCTGGATCAAGTTGGCTGACGAAATCAAGTCCAGAAACAACATAGCCTCTCGATCTTTATCATCGTTGACATGGAAATTAAAGTCACCACAAATCACAAGATGGTTGCGTTCAGATTCCAATCCTTCAAGAAAGGTAGCGAATTCATCAAGAAAGATGGAAGATGTTGATCGTCGATCAATAGTTCTCTGTGGTCTGTAGATTACCACCAAGCGAAGAGGCTTTTGACGGTCAGCTGAAATGAGAATGTTAAGATATTCAAAGGATTCAAGAGTTCCAAAGTCCTTTCCAAGAACTTTGAAGCTTCGATGTAGGCATACACCAACGCCACCACCTGATCTATTCCTTCTCGGTGAGCTAATTAACTCATGAGATGGGAGGTCATTGGAGAAATCGGACAAGACCCGGCCATCACGTTCATCTCCTGTGAGCCATGTTTCAGTGAGTGCCAAGATATCCACATGTTGTGTAACTACGAAGTCTGACACCATGTGAATCTTCTTCTTAAGAGATCTAGCATTCCAAAGAACCATATGACAATGTCCAGAGTCCACAGATTGGTCCTAATGAACTTGGGAACTATTGGAAGTCTTATCGGCCGTTTCAGCATGCCTTCGTATGCGTCTACCTCCTTTGCAGCCTCTGTGACGAGGGCGTCTACTCGAGATCCCAAGTGTTGTGATAGCTTTCCAAGTGCATGCGTCAATTCGATGCACGCAGCGTAGATCCAACAGTTCAGCTCTGCTATACGCCAATCTGTGGGTGATATTGCGTGTAACACTCCTTGTAGAAGATGCAGAAGAAACTCCATTATCCTCAACATTTTCCCCGGGGCCAGGATTGGGATGTACATCACCAGCTTTTGTCAACTCAGTACGAAATGTGAAGGTTGAATTACTGTAGTATAAAATCCTCTTCCCTGTATAATGATGACAGTGGCGGTAGTAATGACCTCTATTCACTGACCATGTATGAATAGATGAAGAAGCAATGTCCTCATTCAAGGTGTTTGACAAACACAAAAGAACCAGTGAAAGGAGGGTGCCAATGTTGAACCCTTTCATTGTGTTCAATGCTCCCCTTGGGTGGACCACAATAGACTGTAGTGAAGCTATGGCTCCCAGTCAATGCTATGCTATGCTTTAAACCTCCATAGGTTAGTGTGTTATTGTTATTTATATCCTAACATTGTCATTTTAGTGGCATGTTCTCTTATGTTCCGGGTATTTGAATAAAAATAGAATAACAAAAATTGTAAATCAGCATTATCATGTTGTATTAGTTTTCCTCAGCAATTAAGTTTAATATGTACATCGCAACCAGATGCATTGCATATTCCGTGCGATCAAGGGGGCACTGGCACTCATCGAAGACAGGGGCATCGATCTTACCTGGGAATGAAATGCAAATTAAAAAGACTATTAAATGTTCTCTGTGAAGTGGTCCTATTATCCTCTTTCTTTCTTTTGTTTTTGTCCCTGTGATCTTTTTTTAAATGTTGCGTATCAAGAGGGAAGAGGATTATCCCCATTCCCCCCGCATCTGTGCCACTGGTTACAACGATAAACAACTTCATTCTCCAAATCATGCTGCAACATACACATTACATACACTAGTTGAAGAGACATGGCAACATGAAATTATAAAATGATGGACTTAATTATTTACCGCTCGAGTTGTTTTTGATGAATGGAAAGAGAAAAATGCATGTACGAAATCTGTTCAATGCAATAGAAATCTCCATTTATTTACAAACATTGGGTCTTTCCCTGCAAATAATGATTATACATTAATGATGATAGTACTTGTAGTATGATAAGCTAAATGATACATGTAAATATTGCACACCCGATGCAACACAATTGGAATCATATAAGGATTGATCATTGATGCATTTAATGAATCTAAAAATGATCGATCTTTTCTCAACAATCCCACGATCAAAAGTTGGGATTTCTTTTTGTTTAACCCATCTTTTGTTACTTGTTATCACAGAAAGTGTTTACCTTTATCAGGTTGTAGAATATATATTGATATCATTAGGAAGAGCATTTCTTGTGTATAACGACAAATACCCCTAGAATATCATTCTGGACATGTAACCATCATAACATAATCGCTCAGTGGGGGGGGGGGAGGGTAGTGAGCATATACACACTAACACTACTATTCCTTATAGAGCAATGACCTTCCTTACAACTATAACTGCCCTATAGAAGAAGAAAAAAACAAAGGTTACCTCATCTAATATAGTGACTGCCAGCTCTACCATCATTTATGGAATAAATGTTTGTTAATTAATATTGTAAGTGTTTATATCCTATATACTTTGCCAAAGTTACATTCTCACAAATCTGGTAAAAAAATACCTCATGTGTGGTGAAAAGGAAGCAAGCATGTTCGGTGGTTCACCAAACGCACCATAATTATTGAGCAAATATAATTATTATTCAATATTGAGTTAAAGTTTTTACACAATATTGAAAAAGAATTTACCCAACAAACATACCTGCTACTTCGGATTATATAAGGACATGACGGACTTGTGTGACATGGATAAGCATTATACTTACAACTAACAGTGACATTAAATGTACAGCTCCCTATCGCAGTCGATGGCGATGACGTCGGATAAGCCGTCACTGTGACCTCATTAGTGCCTACTGGCAACCTGTTAGTCGGACCGTATTCTGTGGGGTCAAAGGTCAAGGTATAGCTAGTGCTTCCAGAAACGGTAACGTTGTAGGTGTCAAAGACGTTTGATCTATCCGATTCCACGGAATTGCAAATCACATCTGCAAAGAACGCAAAGGAATAATTGAAAAGAAAGGTGTTATCTACCTTTAAAACATTATATGTCATAACCCTTAACATGAATCATGAGTTATAATCATTGCTATATTAATGCAACTACCATTTTTGCTGATGGATTTACCTTGGAGAGACTGGAAATAGGACAAGGATTATGGAGGCGATTATAATGGTACGTGACGACGTTTGGCTTTTTACATGATGAGATAACTGTCTTGTTTCATTTTTGCACGTTTCATGACCCTTCCAGTGGCATGGTGAACCATCTAATATTTGATGTTGTATAAATGTATGTCTCAACAATGAAAAGCAAGCATAATCTCTTTTTTTTAATGGAATGACCCGTAAAAATCACTGATCCCAAGTTGCTGTACAAGGTAGTTATTGGCACACCTCTCCCCATTCAACTTGGCGGAATTTCTTTTTCAAATGAGAGATTGAGGGAACTTTGGACCGATCATTATTTTCGTCTCGTTGATTCTCTTGTTATAGTCAATATTGAAACGTTTTTTTTTTTTGTTATTCCTCGGTATTCAACACGTTGATGGAGGAACGATCTGAACAAATGTCAATTGATATCACCATGATCGTGGTACAGATAAGAATGCCACGTTGAAATCTTTATAATTTTCGCTTATCGTCTGTTTTTAGATTTTCCTCTACTAAATAACATAACATGGCTGAATCGGGGAGGATGGTACCAAAGGCAAGTTACCGATTATGTTATCGGTGAATTATTACATCATTTGACATGAGCACTGCCCCTCAAGTAAAACAAAAATCTTTCCGATTAATTAATCACACTTTCTAAAAAATTATCGTTCACTACTCCCCACGCATCCATACCAGCTGAAAGTGTTATTTGAATGAATTGTTTCTGTGTCGAAAACTTTGTAATCCACTTTTAAAATCCCCCTACTCGCCGGCATGCGTTTACTTGCTTGATAAAGCATTTGGACGCCAACCCATTTTCATAACTTCGTTCAAAATTGGGGATCCAAAGCATATTAATACGACTGATCCAATATCATTTGCCATACTAGAGTATACGAACAAATACAATTACTACAATACCACCCCCTTCGTTATTCACATTGACTACCCGGAATAAAGACCCTCATTAAAATCACTTCCAACCGCTAGCTATCTAACTCAAACCCAATGAAACTAATCTTATTTTCGTGAAAAATCAAGCAAACTCTTTGACATCAAATTCCTTGTGAAAAATAAGCAATGAAGCCGAAAGCGAGAGAAATCTCAATCTCAAATACCATGATCAAAGTATTTTTTTATCTGTTTTTAAAATCTCGTTATCACGTCATTATCCGCCATAAATAGAAAGGAATCTCAATTTCATTAATAAGTACATATGTCATTTGATTTTATTTGATTTCTACAATTTTCATGCAATAATAATCAATAACAATATGAATATTTTGTATATAGTGGTAATATTTTTTTCAAATCACAATGAATAACACAATTATGCAACAAAATGTTGGAAAGGATTGAAATAGCAAAATGCAAAAGAGCTGTAGCGTAAACATGCGCTTGAAGTGCATGCAGCTCTTTAGCTTACGATTACAGCAACAGCAAAATATGATAATATAAACAGGCATCAAAAGAACAGGAATTCAATGGCCCCAAAATTACAAAAACTGACCATAAGTGACAAAAACATTACTATTAGTTTATTCATACCACTCAATAATAATTGAAAAATTATACGTACATCACCTCTGAACATAATTTAAAACATCATGCCTTTTTTTTTCTTCTTCAATAAATTACCCTGTAATATTCAGACTTTTGATACCACGCTTGCTGACGAATTTCCGCTTACTATCTTTGAGATATATTATAAAATGTCACCTTTTTTCACTATTTTTATTCATAGATATTTTCTATCATAATATTCATGCCCTGAGTCCATTTTGATTATTGGAAAGGAAATGAAACACAAAGCCCTCCCACAAATAGAATAGGACCGTCTTTTAGAATAATGAAAAACAAAATATATTTATACAACCCGTTTCACAAAGAAGTTTATCTGTCTGTACCGTTATAGTAATGACTCTTTCTCATTTCAAAATAAACTATACATGTATAGCAAATTTTACCGATTAGATAGTTTATAAGAAAATATGATTAAGAAAACATAGCTTATTAGTGCCGATATTCACGATAACATTTTTTTTCATAGACATTCGTCTTTCTTGTACTGCCCGATTGCCGGTTAATTTCAAACTAAAACCAATAAAAAGATTTTGGTCTTAATTAAAGTTCACTTACCCTGGCTGTTTGCTCCATTACATAAAATGAAGAAAATCCCACAAATCCAAACATACGTCCTTGTTATACTTAAATGGTAACTGCACAGCTCCATAATTCGAAAAAAATTCTCGTCAAATAAAGTCGCAAGTCAATTATGAAAATATCCAGGCTTTGATACAGGTCTAATAGTTATGCTCCTTTATTTGGGGCAGAATTTCCTCAGTGTCTACAAAGCTTGTCTCACTTGTTGATGTATTTTAGAGTACAGCCATAAACTTCCTTGTAGACTATCTTCTGGTGAAACTGTTTGATATGGGTTTTGTTGTTACACACCAAGTTCTTATGTCAATCGAAGAAGGCGCCTGGTACATAAAGCGGAAATATGTATAAATGCGAGCAGTGATGTCCCTCAATCACATAAGTAGTGCGAAGGGAGTGGCAAAAGTTTAGTTGCCTGGAGGTATATCGTTAGACCAGGGGGGTGACCATGTCCAGGTAACTGAGTGTGCGAATAAGCTGAATCAAGGAGCAGTTCGTGTTCTAAAATGGAGCCAAGTCTGAGGAGAAACTCCAATCTGACTATGCACCTTGATGCGGGAATGACTTTAGCTACAAGTTAGAGAGTCCAAGATGTTTGCTCAGTGCTAGACGTGCGCTAAGGCTGTCTGCGTGTGAACTATAGAAAACATGATCCTCGGCAAATATTATACCCTGTGTTCATTGGTATTGCTAGTCTCAGAGTAGGAAAGATATTCCTTTGTTGGAAGAATCGTTGTTCATGTATTGTATTTATAGTAATATCATCCAGATTTTTGCATACACTCCTTGTGCATGCCTCAATGATCTTCAAAGAAAGAAGTCCAAAGGCAACACGGAGTGTCCCCCAAAACGGAAAGAGATTTTTTACTTTGCAAAAGTGCAAGACTAAGCTTAGTGTATGATGTGGAACGCAATGTTAAAGGTTTGGTGAAAGATGAAATAGGGAAATAAGTGCTGTTTTAGTAATACCTTTCATATTTCAACTTTAACAAAAACAAATGTCTAGCAACTTCATCTGCAGAAATTGTGGTTTAAATTCAGAGAAATACAAATCCAAATATCGTTGCATATTCAGGGACATCCGAGCTAGTTTCAAGCTCAGATACATCATTGGTTGGAAAGATGATTTCTTAAATAATGAGGTATAAGCTCTACTTTTGCATATTGCCTTGTATATTGCATCGCAAATAGCAAAAAAAGTTTACCCGTTGCTTTATTTCCGCTGGTATGCCTGAGTTAGTGGCTCATTTTAGCAATGATTTCCTTGTAGATGACAATACAGGATCATGATTCTTGTATGGATATCCTCGTTTTGCCACCCACTTGACGGATAACGTGGTAGAAAATGTATCTTATCAACAAATACAGGTTTCAAAGAGAAATGGGGAAAAACCCGATAATGAACGTAACTGCGACCGCCAAATAAATTCAATTTTAAAGGTATAGTTGAGTTCTGTTTTCAGACCGCAAATGCCTTCAAAGTGCATGGTTATTGCTCGTATTCTTATCTATAACAATCATGTCTAGTGCCCTTTAGAACCTAAAATTGCTATGAAGGTAATTTTAGACCCTAAAATGTGTGAAATTTAGCCAATACGATCATACCAATTCAGCTCCACTTTCAAAAAATATAGTGACCGTTAATTAATTGTTTAATTAAAAAAACAATACATGGGCCGGCTGGTTGTGCATATTATAACCAACACGAAAATGCCAACAAAAGAGCCAACATCAGCATTGGCAGAAATACGACATAAAAGGTGCTATTTCGTTTTTTCAAAGGCTTTTTCAAATCACTAATATTTGTGGTGGTACACAAGTATTAAAAAGCGTTATAATTATGGATATTTCAGCCGTCTCTGAACCGATTTTGATCAAACAAAGATGATTTTGTCATTTAAATTGTATGTTTTTTCAAATTTGATACACTGAGTTTTTCATTATCTCACACAAAATTGTTTTGTGTAGCGCCCTCTGGAACAGATCTCAACAATCCCTTTAAGCCTAATTGTGTCTATCCCAGATAACAATGGGATGTTCGGCCCAGGGGCGGATCAAGCCGGTGGCAAGAGGGGGGGGGGGAACAATTCTTGAGAAAATATTTGACGACGGGGGGGGGGGGGGGGGGAGGGTATTAAAGAGAAACACTAATTTATTGGGGGCTAGGGGGGGGGGCTTGGCCCAGTCCCAGTCCAGAATCTGGCCGATTCAATTTTTTTATCTCAACCACACCCGAACGCAATGCGACCTCCCCATACTTGCTGGACTTGCTGCCAGCCGAAGATGGTGTAATCAAAATAAGGACGCCCGGCGAATTTCTTTTTAACTGGGCTGGTAAGCGTATGAGTTCGTAGATAACGGCATCCTCGGCAGCTTAATGAATCAATTGTATGGAATGTCTAGAACCGATCAGATTCTGGACCCCAACCACGCCAACGAAACTGACACCAGACCAAACAAACTTTTACATTTCCCCCACTGGCGTCCTGATGGGGGGGGGGGGGGGGCAGTTGACCCCCAAATAGAATTCAAACGTGGTTTATTTCTAATTCGATACCAGAGATTTACAAATGTTTCTGAAATGACATGATTTTCCCGGTTTTTTCCTCAAAATGTTTGCCCATTATGCCAGAGGCGGCTCCCGGTAGGGGAGGGGGGGGGGGGGGGCACTGTGCCCCTCTTTTTCAGGTACCCCCTCAGAAGCCCCTTTTTACATAGGCCACGTGCCCCTTTTCTTTTCTAATAACTGGCCATTTCCTCTATGGTGAGTACGTCTTTTCACCTCTGATATAATAATAATAATAATAATAACGTTTTATTTACCCAGGGTAGCCACTTCAGTTATGAAACTGTTCTCCCAGCGGGCCCTGCATAACATAATATGTTATTACTGCCCTTCTCCAATCTAATGTGCTGAACGCCTAGCTAGAAGGCAGAAGGTCCCATTGTTATGAGTCTTTGGTATGACTCGGCCGGGGTTCGAACCCACGACCTCCCGTTCATGAAGCGGGCGCTCTATCCACTGAGCCATCATGTCCGGTCGATATGTCCGATATGTTTGCCCTTTTTTTTACTTGGACTCGTGCCCCTTTTCCTTTTTAATAAGTGTACTTTTCCCTTCTTAATAAGAACCCCTTCACCTTTTCTTAAATGCCACCTTTCACCTCTGATAAGTGACTCTTTTATTTTGACACGTGCCCCTTTTTCTTCTTTTTTATATGAGCCCTTCCCCCTTTTCAAAATGCCCCTTTTAACATCTGATAAATGCCCCTATTAAAATTTCATAGGTGCCCTTCTCCTTCAACAGATTCCACATTTCCATTATCACAAGTACCTTTTTTTTTCATTTCGAGTGTCCATTTTCAGGTGCAAGAAGTGCCATTTTTACCTCTGAAGGCTCTAATAATTGCCCTTTTTACTTTGTCAAAAGCACCTTTTCTTTTCTAATAACTGTCCTTTTCCCTTTTGATAAGTGCCTACTTTTCCTTTCTCCATAACATGCACCATCGATTCAAAGCGACTAAGAGCCCCTTTTTCTTCAATTTTCCCCAAAGCTCGCTCGCATTTATAGATGTTATAATTATGTTACTTATAAAAGAATTTGTCAATCTTTCTTCATTAGATTGTGCTTAATACTCATCAGTTTTTTTTTTCTTTTTTCTTTTTAAGATTTTCGCACTGGGGCCTCATAAATCTTAGAATTTTTGCTCGCTGGCTTCGCTCGATCGAAAATGAATATTCAGACCATCACATCCAACTGCAAAGTATCTTGGTTAATTACGCATTCACGTCAAGAAAGAAACAAATATTGATATAATCCCTGGTAGTGTAATCACAATCGTGACGATGTAGGGGTATATACCAATGTCTACAAATGGTGTAGGTTTTGTTGACGTTTCCCTGTGCAGGTGCCCTTTTTTGTTGGTGCCCCATCCCTATTTTTGAAGACGCCGCCCCTGCATTAGGCTACTTGGTGGTGATAAGATTTTGTTCTGACCCCCCAAAAGTTTTTGCTCATTACGCCACTGCCTACAGGGGTGGTTATCCGGGAGTGGTTCTCCAGGGGGTAGGTGCAGGGGCGTCGCTAGACCTTTTTCAGTGGGGGGGGGGGTGTAGAGGTCAACGATTACCGACAAAACTAGCCACCAATTACCGACAAAATTAAATATCCCAATATCTACAAATTTAACCCTATAAACCCGGGGCCGAAGGCTAAATTGTTTTTCCTATGGACTATCTATAGTAATTGCGTATGCGCAAATTATCATTTTCCTCGACGACATAAATATACGAATTATTTCGTCAACTTAGTCAACATCAAAGCTATATATTTTAATGCAGGTGCGGAGCTAGGATCTTATTTTAGGGAGGGCGGTAGTGAGCAAGGGAAGCGTGCTCATAAGGGGGTGTCGGTGTTAGGCCTCCCGCACGAAGCGTGGAAGCTTAGACGTTTCCTTAAATTATGAGAAAAGGCAGACGATTCGTTGAACCGTGCTCGACTCTTAATCCTTGTCTGAATTCAGTTTCTCCCCCTCCCGCGCAAAGCGCGGAAGCTTTGACGTATCATTAAATTATGAGAAAAAGCAGATGATTCGGTGTCGGCCTACTGTTCTCGACGCTTAATCCGTATCTGAATTCAGTTTTCCCCCCTCCCGCGCAAGTTTTTAAGTTTCATTAAATTATTAGAGAAAGTAGACGATTCGTTGAACCGTGCTCGAGTCTTAATTCTTGTCTAAATGAAATTTCCCCCTCCCGCGCAAAGCGCGGAAGTTTTGACGTTTCATTAAATTATTAGAGAAAGCAGACGATTCGTTGTACCGTTTTCGACTCTTAATCCTTGTCTATATTCAGTCCCCCCCCCCCCCCCCCCCCCCCCCCCCCTCTGCGCGAATCGCGGAAGCTTAGACTTTTTCTCAAATTATTAGAGAAAGAAAGCGATTCGTTGTACCGTTCTCGACTCTTCTAAATGAAGTTTCACCACCCGCGCAAAGCGCGGAAATTTTGGCGTTTCATCAAAATATAGAGAAAGGAAGACGATTCGTCGTACCGTTGTCGACTCTTAATCCTTGTTTGAATTAGTATCCCCGAAAATGTTAAACCTCTGATTTCTTTAGCTGATATTATAGGAAAGTAAAACTTCGAGAAAATACAAGTATTGTAGTTGTAGTCACTCTCGAAGTCGTCACAGCAGATAAAAAGTCACAGTTCGTAGGTGAAAAAACTTGTCGGCCGAACGACAATATACATCTCACCGCAAGAATACCGACACAGCTGACCCGAAACAGCAACATATTTACCCACGTCTTTCTTGCTTCCTTGACGAGACGACTCCACCCACAACCCCCCCCCCTCCCTTTCTTTTACTCCCACTCCTCCTTTCTCAGGCTCTTACCTCCCCCTCTCTCCTCTCTTCACCCCCCCCCCGTTTCTTTTGTTTCCCTTTTCTTCTTTTTGTCTTCCTTTTTTTTTGTCTTCCTTTTCTTTCTTTCTCTTTCTTTCCTTTCTCTTTTCTTTTCTTTCTTTTCTTTTCTTTCTTTTCTTTTCCTTTTCTTTTTTCTTTTCTTTCCCTTTCCCACTCTTTTTTCCCTCCCCCTTCTCTCTTTTTTCCCGACGGCAGCGCAATTTTACCGACAATATCCTGACAGGTGGAGGGTGTCGCACCCCCACATCCCCCCCCCCCCCTTTGGCGACGCACATGGGTAGGTGTCCTAGAACCGCGTGTAGTGGGAGTGTGTGTTTGTGTTTGTGAAAGACACAGAGAGGGGGAAAGAAGGAGCATGGAGTGGGGAGAAGGGATGCTTTCCAAATTCCTGGTAGTCAGAATCCACGGCGAAGTCATACACAAAATCCGAAGGCAGAAAATTTACGCTAGTCCGTAAATAATGACACAAGGGGCGGTTTCAGCTACACTCTTCCATCTTAATCGATTTCATGAATGAATTTATCATAATGACTAGTTTCCAGGATCATGATTTGCCAGACAAAAGAACATCTTCAATCTATTTTTTTTAATCAGATAGGAAGGGGATAGCGATTATTAAACAAGTCTTTAAAAACAACAACAATGAGCTTAACAATAGTGATAATAATGATAATGATGATAATGATAGTGATAATAATAACAACGATAATAATAATAATAATAATGATAATTATAAGAACAAAAACAAGAATAATTTCTGCGGGAAACGCGTGCTCCTCCCCGTTGCACCCCCCCCCCCCTCCCCCACACACTTCCGCAATCGGTTTTCACAATTGAAGCAATCATTTAATTCATTCATTTAACAAGAAATTAATTTATTCATGTACACACTGACCAGGAAGGAAACAGTAAACACCCTGACAGAAATGGTAGAGGTTAAACTCAGCAAATGTCATATTCCGTGAACTGACTTGAGTGTGCAGATAGCAGAAGCTACAAGTCATTGATTTGAGTCGGGTGTGCTTTCATTTTACACGTTTACCAATTCCACGTATTCCAAGTGGTGTGTAATTTCCTCGGTATCCAGAAAGTAAAGGTACGGTACAATTTAAAGATATTTTCACTTCTGTTTTAATTATTTTTATCATCTGGAATAAAAGAAGAGAGAGAAAAAAAAGGAAAAAAAACACGGAATATTGTTGCTTTAGTTAATAGCATGCATGCAGGCGCGGATCCATGATCTTGTAAAAGAGGGGAAGATTTTCTGACGAGCAAATAATTTTTTTTTTAAAGCAAAGGGGATGGAGCACATTCTTAGACTTTCGTATTAAATATCTACTACTTAGGTTTCAAACGGGGGTACGGGCCGGCTGTGCCCCCATCCCCCTTAAATCCGCCTGTGATGGCATGTGTCCTCGATTCGTGATCATGGACTTCTGGTATTGTAATCCTCTTTCTTATCATCCATTCCGAAGGTTACGAAAGATCCCTTCATGTGCAAACTTTTAAATAAACTTTAAGTTTCAATTATAAGCTTCCAACAAATACTTTATAATCATTTGCTTACGAACCTTTTCGGGGTTTATGCATACGAATTGTACGATTATTTCATAATGGATTTCAGTTGAACTAATTATCTTCAAAATAAGTATTGCACTCGTAGTGAATGTCATATAGCTAAATCATTGTCTCTCTAATGAATACATCACAAATCATTATCAATTATATTCTACTAATATTGGTCAACTAAATCAAATGGAGGATGTTATCTTTCTGTCACTTTACAGACGAATAAAGGACATCATGCATTTCAAACACCATTCATCTCTTTTCCCATCATTGGTCATGGCTTTTCTCTTGCCCTTGACGCTTCAAGCCTTCCAAGGCGACTCGATGGAGATTGTATCCTCAGGATTACATACAGGAAGTGTTCGTCGGGGATGCTACCAAAACGTAGAGCAAAGAAAAGCTTACTGCAGTAACAATGGTCTGGATTCGGTTCCTCAAAATCTTGCAGGAGACACTAAGGAACTTGATCTGTCTGGAAACAACATCACTGTCCTCCAGAATTTTTCGTTTGAGAGATACCCCCTGATCACTTTCTTGAATCTTTCAGCTAACGACATCAGAGTGATAGAACCCACCGCTTTCCACCCTCTCAAGAAGTTGGTGAAATTGTTAATAAATTACAATAACAATCTTGTGCTCCCAGTGACAGGCTTATTCAGATGGGCCAGTAAGCTGACCTACCTGGGCCTATCGGGATCAAACTTGAAATCCCTTCCCAACGACACCCTAATATGGAATCAACACATAGACTACCTGGATTTAAATTCCAACCACCTCACTTTCATCAATATTAGCACTTGTGGCTCAGTAAGATATGCTGGCTTCTTTAGAAATCACATTGAACAGCTCACAAAGGAAACTTTCACCTATGCGTGTCAAACTGATTATCTGAACCTTGGTGCAAACCCAATCAAGTTGATTGATCCCATTGCAATTGCTGCACTACATACCCGCTCACTTGTGCTAGGTGGCGGAGGCCACTTTTGGACACCCAAGATGCTGAGAAACCTAACAACCGGAATCTCTCGTTCGCAGATCAAGAGGCTTAAAGTCTCTGCTGTTGATTTAAGTCCTTTCCCTCAAGATTTCTTTACTCCATTGCGAGATTATTCCTTCACTCTTCTTGATTTAACCTTTTATAATGTGAATGCCCTCTATCCATTCGTCTTCTCGAATCTGACGCTGCTCGATCAACTTAATCTCAGTATTAACCAAATAGCTACAATCGAACCGAACTTTTTTGACGGCATGCAGGCGTTGAAAGTGTTGAAATTAGATCAAAATGTGGTAAGGAGTATAAATACTGGTAATCATAATTGGACAATCAAGCTCACTGAGTTGTATTTATCAGGGAATTCATTGACATATATTTCGAAATTTGCATTTCTTGGTTTGCAAAATTTAACCCTTTTAGACTTAAGCTCTAACAAACGACTTAATCAGATTTATTTGACATCCTTTACAGGACTAAATAACATTCACACCATTGATTTGTCAAGATGCAGTATCGTAAGTTTTGTGTTGTACAGTCCGATTTTAAAGTCGCTGCGTATGGAAGAAAACAAAAACGGTATGATAGGTATAGGTCCTTTTCACCCTGGGGGATCCTTCAGATACTCATCGAATCTTGTTTATTTGGATATACAAGAGTCACAAGTTTCGTCAACTGATCTGTGGGATACAAAGACAAATGTTTCTCTTTTCGAAGGACTGTTCAATCTCACGACATTGGATTTGAGTAAGAATCCGAAAATTGGCCAACTCCGCCTGGGTAATGGGATCTTCCATCACCTCTCTGCTCTACAGGAGCTCAGTTTAGATGCCTGCGCTATTTCAAACCTTCACCCTCTTGTGTTTACAGGTTTGGAATCACTTCAGAAGCTGAAACTATCAGGTAATAACCTTAAGCAGATTCGTTTTGGTTTACTCACAGGGTTAGGGCAAATACGAAGCATTAAACTTGATGGAAACATTCTAGGACACCTTGATGAAGGAACGTTCTTGAACAACTCAAGGCTTACAAGCCTTTCATTGGCAAACAACAAGCTAACGGTTCTAAACGAGAGCACATTTAGACCAATCTATTCTTCTCTTTCACTAATAGATCTTTCAAAGAACCCACTTTTTTGTACATGTGATCTCGAGTGGCTTCTAGATTGGCTGAATCAGAATAGAACAGTACGCCTTGTCAATGAGAATCAGACTCTCTGTGCACCATCATCATTGGCTTCTCTCCGTGAGAAACCTTTACTTAATTTTAATCCCTCTGAACTATGTCGGTTCAACTATGCCATCTTCAGTTTAATTCCAATTGTCATCGTATCATTGGTTGTGTTCCTCGTGCTCGTCTATTACAAGCGATGGAAGCTAAAGTACAAACTCTTCCTCCTAAAATTGGCGGTCATTGGGTACAGGGAGAGGCTAGACGCGCGCAACCATAACGACTATGAGTTCGACGTAAATATCATCTCCTATGACGATGACGAAGAATGGATTCGCGAAAATCTGAGACCAACTCTGGAAGACCAGCTACCGCAGTTTCAAAGGAACATCTTTGGTGACGCAGACCTCATACCGGGTATGTACTACTTGGATGCCGTTGACTACGTGGTGAGCCGGAGTTACAAGACCATCATTCTACTCAGCAGAGCCGCCGTACGTGATCGCTGGTTCATGCTCAAGTTTCGTACGGCCATGGATCACGTGAGTGATACCCAGACCGAATTTGTAGTCGTTGTCTTCCTCGAAGACATCCCAGATGATGACATACCTTTCTTGGCGAGGTTGTTCCTCAGTGACGGCAGACCTTACCTCCACTGGACAGAGGATGTGAGAGGTCAAGAATATTTCTGGAAGGCATTGGCAAAGAATCTGACCATCAACCTAAGGACCAACGATCTGATCCCAAATGAATAGAACCAGTATGGAAACACTTGTCGAAATAAATGCAATGTAAAAATGAAATGAGAATAAGGGTTGCGTAGCTTAAATCCCGGTTCGATTCCCAGGCAGATAATTTTGTTCAACCTTTGCAAATATTTCAAAATGGAGGACAGCAATAGGGGTGCTAAAGCTACTCAACCATTATTCCCTCATTTTCATTCGCAATATGTATATACACTGTATAGTCCAAATCAATTTATTTTGAGGTTCGGGGGGGGGGGTATCCTTTGGCCACAAGTAACAAAAATTACTACTCTACTAAAATATCAAAACAAATTGATTAAGGAATGGCCTTTTTTTTTTCCTTGCCCTCAGAAAGGGTTGGTTTCTTGGGGGGTTGGGAAGAAGTTCACAGTATCAAGATAAAAATAATTCAGAAACTACTCTTTAATCAACATTTCATTAGTACTTTTTTTCCTTTATTTTACTTTCATACAATAGATCCTCAATGTTTTTTTTTTTCTTATTTCAAGAAGCCATCATAATAACAGAGGTGCCTGTCATAAACTGAGCAGTAATTTAGGACTAGATCGAATGTATTCTTCAAAACTCTTTGTGCCCTGGTTAATACCGGAGCTGAGCCCCGGCTAATAATTTCAAGCTTAAAAAGCATCATACAAAAGAATCATAAGTAGCAGCAGCAGTAAAATATGTCATCATTATTATCATTTTCAAAGATAACAGATGTAAAAATAATGATATCAACTATAATTGTCTTTAGATTATCATATTTTTTCTTTACGTTGTCATGCAGAATATTGAATCACATTTCACATTAGTTAATACAAAAAATTAGAATAAGACAAAATGTTATACGTTAATTGATTACTGTATTTGTTAATGCTGATTACATTTTTTGTAAGAACTCTATCAATGTTGATTATAATAATTATCTATCTATATTTTTCAAAGCAAATTGCCAATTTTGTATGCACTATCATTGTAAAATAATGGCAATTCGGCTAGGTCGCAATGTTTTTTTTTTAATAAATAAAATCTATGAATAAATCATTTATCTATCTATGTTCACCATACCACTAATTTTATTTTTATAATTACTGTCATCAGCCATCATAATAACAGAGGTGCCTATCATAAACTGTGCAGTAATTTAGGACTAGATCAAATGTATTCTTCAAAATTCTTTGTGCCCTGGTAAATACCGGAGTTGAGGCGGGCTAATAATTTCAAGCTTAAAAAGCATCATACAAAAGTGAATAGTAGCTTTATCGTAGGAAGCAGCAGCAGCAGTAGAAGAATTATCATTATGATCATTTTCACAGATAACAGATGGAAAAATAAAGATATCAACTTTTGTCTGTATATTATCATATTTTGTCTTTACATTTTCATGTAGATTAATGAATCACATGCCATATTAGTTGATACAAAAGATTGTGATAACACAAAATTGTATTTGTTGATTGATTGCAGTTGTGAGTCGGTCAAAGGAGGTGCAAACCGTCTTATTTCTTGTTTGTTTGATCTTATGTTAGATCCTATTTTTGACCTTATATATATTTGATCCCATTGTTATTTCTATTATATATGCATGATTTATTTAATAAAGAACAGATTTATGATTTGTGGGTTTATTATTAGTTTTGGTTAATATTTTTAGTCAAAAAATGTTGCGCTTAGGGACACCCGTATTAAGCCCCTAATAAATGTTGTGTATTATTATTATTATTACTATTGGTTTATATGTGTTATATTTTTCAATGCTGATTACATTGTTTGTAATTGTTTGTCGATTATATTTTGTATCTATCTATTTTTGCCAAAGCAAATTGAAATTTTTGTATGCACTCTATCATTGTAAAATCATCGCACAATTCGGCTATATCGCAATGTTTTGTTGTTGTTAATCTATCAATAAACCATTTATCTTCACCGTACCACTACTTTTATTTTTACCATTCCTGTTATCAATATCGTTATTATATAAAATGAGTGTTAAGCACAAACACTAATCTTCTGGAGCCAAAAGTATCAGTTAATACCCTCCTGGCTCTTAAGAGATGATAAGTTATCTATGGAATGAATCCATTTTCTTCTGGAGAAAGCATGTCTTTATTGTTGATAAAGTGTTTCAAGATTTATCAGACACAAGAAAAAGGCATACCTAACAATTTGGATTACTTCCTCAAAAGGTGAATATTCCATGTAAGATATTCTTTGATGTGTGTGTCGTGTAGAATTCACAGATAAGGTCATATTTATGTTGATACATCACAAAACAATGATATATAGGGAATTCCAAAAAAAGAGTCGAGCATCATGGCTAAATGAGAGTTTAGGATTACCTTACAATTTGGATTACTTCCTCAAAAGGTGAATATTCCATGTAAGATATTGTTTGCTGAGTGTGTGGTGTAGAATTCCCAGAAAAGGTCATAGATATGTTGATAAATCACAAAACAATGATATATAGGGAATTCCAAAACAGAGTCTGGCATCGATCATGGCTTAATGCAGAGTACTTGTAATGTCGGCAGTGCCCCCCCCCCCCCCCACTTGTTCAAGCACCCGAAAAAGTGCGCCTTTTCACATAGGTAAAGTGCCACTTCCCGTCCCAAGTTTTATTTTGACATGTGCCTCTTTTCCTTCGACAAGTTCCCATTTTCCTTTGCAGTAAGTGTCCATTTTCCATTCTCATAAGTATTTTTTTTTAAATCTCTAGTAAGTGCCTCTTTTCAGGTTCGAGAAGTGCCCCTTTTTACTTTTAATAAAGGCCTCCTCCACCTCTGATAATTGTCCTATTCAAATCTGAGAGGTGCCTCTTTTATTTTGACAAGTGCCCCTATTTCCTTTGTAAGAAGTGCCCCTTCCCGTTTTAATATTTACCCCCATTTTTAACTCGGATAAGCGCACCTTGTATTTTTACATGTGCCCCTTTTTCTTTCTACTAAGTGCTCCTTTTCCTAATGATAAGTGCCCCCATTAACTAAAAAAGAGCCCCTTTTTATCTCGGGAAAATGACCCTTCTCAGGCACGAGTAGTTACTTCTTTTCACTTTAGAAAAGTGCCCCCGTCACCTCCGATAAATGTCCCTTTAAAATATGATCGGTGAACATTTTCTTTCAACTAAGACACATTTTCCTTTATTATAAGTGCCCTTTATTATAAGTACCCCTTGTCATATCTTGTCATTGCCCCTTTTCAGGTGCAATAAGTGCCTCTTTTCACCTCTGATAATTTCCCTCTGAAAGGTATAGACCAGTTTTGGAAAAGCCCCCCTCTCAAAAAATGAAGTGGAAGCTCTTATTACCAATCATATCAAAGAATATTTTATGACTTATGCATGATGATACAAATTTTTACCGGGAAACAGCCTACTGATTGATATATTTGGTAAATTATCATATTGATCCGGACTGGATAGATATTGTGTAGTCCCATATATATCTTTCTGTGTACAGTGCTTGTAACTTACCAAGACTGGGCCAAATTTCATATCATTTTGATGAATTTAGAACCTTGCAGTACACACCAATACTTATATGCTTAGATGATCAACCTTTTCTGATCGATTCCACAACATTTCTTTCACAATGCAATCACAAGACCAGAACTGGTCTTTACCTGTAAACTCCTAGAAATAGTGATGTCAGCAGAACTTCAGCTGTGCCTTCTATGGTGACACTCCCTCCCTCCATTTTTTCTTGTCTTGAGCATTCTCTTCCTTTAGACTATCCTTACTGCTTTCTTTCTTCACCATATCTTTCCATGAACTCCGCTGTTCTTCATATGCCATTCACTACCAGATCTCATGCTCCTTTCACAGATTCATCATCTTCCTCAGATTGAAATGTTGATGATCAAGGAGTTCTGCATGAATTCTACCAAGCATCTTTATCATTGTACCAAGTTGTCTTTTATTCTTGAGTTTTCAAACTCAGAAATTTACTGGCTCAAACATTCGGACAAATTACAAATACATATATACAGAAAATTAAATTTTCTGTAAAATCTCCCATTTATAAATTTAAATAAATGACTATACAAATTATTCTAAGATTTTAATAAACAGGTGCCATAGAGGTAATAATATGATACTGTATTAAGCGCAGTAGAATATATTACTTTATTCATATAGAAGCTGGTCTTTATAAAAGTCCATATTATTCTTAATATTATTGAATTACAAAGCCCAAACATTATACAAGCATGGGTCCAATCCTTGTGACAATGCATAGTATTTGTATTACCTTGATACTTAAAAGGTAACTTCATCAAACATTTTTATTACCCTTTTTTCCCATTGTGACACAGAATTTAGAAGGGCACTAATTAAGTCAGATGCCCGCAAAAAGGCCGTCATGGTCAAGTATTGTCAATAGGATTTACGATCCTTTTGCGGGTAGCCGACGTCTTATCATTCTCCATACCATGGCTATCAAGGGCAGTGATGTTTGGTGGTTTGTTCCAAATTTACATAATAATAAAGCACTTACAATCAAGACATCCAGTGAGTTGTATTTACTTACATGAAATAAGGTATTTGTCAGTCCTATTACCTGAACGGTTTCACACGACTCTCATTAGGGACTTTTAGATTTGCACGTCGACATAGTGGATTGCTACGTGTGACGTCCTTTTAAGGCACTGTGATGTCCATTTAAGGAATTGCCAGTTCCTTTAAATCTAACAGTCCCTATTAATACTGATCTATAAAAGCGTACCTGATAAATCATTCTTTAATATTACAAATTATTGCTACTAATCATAGTTTCAAAAATGCAAATCCGGCTAAAAAGATGCTCAGTCTTTCACACACATAAGTGATCATTCCATGTCTTCAATCACACATCATCATCAAAGCATCACACCATGCACAAAATTTCCCTGACTGGAATTAGTAGTTGATTTGGACTTTGGTGTTGTTCTGGCATTACTTGGCTCATTTTCCTTCTCTCTCTAAATCCCTCTTAAGCTTGGCAAGGGCGGCAAGTCTTGTATCTCGCCACTGGCGGCGCTCTTCCAGCTTGTCCAGAGGGATCTTTGCATCCATCTCCTTGATGATCCGCTCAAGGCCGCTCCCTGTGAACGTTGGCGTAGGACCGAAGTTACCGAGAACGTGCTGAATGCTCTGGGTGTATCGCTCCATGTAACTCTGCATGCCTGGACACAAAACAAATATAAAACAATCCTTGATACATTGTACAACCTACTAAAGAACCAGACACTTTTGTGAATTATCAAAAACAGATTGTCAATAAGATGGATGCAATAGAAGGCTTATGTTTTTTTAACAGTGATGGAATATGGATCAGAAACTTTGAATGTGAAGACAGTAGAAGGAGGTTTCTTGAAGAGAACAGAAAGAGTCATGAAAAGGAGCATGTGTGGTGTAAAACTGTCTGGCAGAAAGAACACAAGGAAGCTCATGGAAATGTTGGGTCTGGAAGAAACTGTGGTGGAAGTGGTAAAGAGAAGTGGACTGAGATGGATGGGTCATGTGTTGAGAAGGGAAGATGATGAACCTGTGAAAGGATCATGAGATCTGGTAGTGAATGGCATATGGGGAGAGAATGACAGCGGAGTTCATGGTAAAATATGGTGAAGAAAGGAAGCAGTAAGGTCAGTTTAAATGAGAAGAATGCTCAAGAAAAGAAGATATGAAGAACACAGCCAGCTGCAAGAATGAATGTGAATTGCAGAACTTCTTGATCATTGACATTCCGATCTGGGGAAGATGATTAATCTGTGAAAGGAGCATTAGACCTGGAAGTGAATGGCATATGAGGGAAAGGAAGACAGCGGAGTTCATGGAAAGATATGGCAAAGAAAGAAAGCAGTAGGGTTAGTCTAAATGAGGAGAATGCTCAAGACAAGAAGAAGTGGAGGAAGGGAATGTCATCATAAAAGGCATAGCTTATGTTCTGCTGACATCACTGTAATTTCAAGGAGTTTAATGTTTAACACCTACCCTCTGCATTGAGATGCATGACTTCTAAAGGTCCTAGGAAGGCATATCTTAGGCCTAGTCCTGCTGACATCACTTTGTCCACATCATCAGCTGAGAGTACACCTCCCTGACAAAAAAAAACACGTCAAAAGCAGGAATTTCAATGTTACTGCATGGCCCATCATATTAAAAGATCAAGTTTAATGAGGATATCATTTGAAAGATAATACTAATTTAGAACTTCCCTAAAAAAGGTGGGGCTTGAAAATGCCTTCAAGTGGGAAATTAATGACTATTAGTTGTCAAATCGACTTAGAAGCTATAGAGCCAATAAGTAATAGTCTTGATTTTCAGACCATTGTACCAACTGGTCATACGTTTTATGCTGCGCAAAGATTTGATCAGTTTAATTTTGGCCATCACAAGAAGTGGGTTATTGTACCCTTTGTACCCTTTACACCCTTTACAGTTCATTTTATGTATGTTATTACCAAAGAAGAAAAAAGCCATTCAGTCAATCAATAGTGTCTGACAGTAAAGTCTAGCAAGTAAACAGGTTTCCTTGCATAATTTGAATATTAGGACACTGCTAACATATAAATTTCACAGATAGGACATACATGACATATTCATAATTCCTGCAAAATTCTACAGAATATGAGGTTGGCTGCAAAAGGGACATAGTACCTTTAACATGAATGACTACCCTACTAACATTACAAAATTAAATTAATCTATGGTACTGATATAATTCTAGTAAAAGACATAAAGACCCACATATTTGAAGAAAAAAACATAGATGAGGTATAAATGAAAAAAATGATCCTTCATTAATATAAATAAATCTTTAAGCTTACAAAGTAATCTCCCAGGAAATCTTCCTTGACTCAATAATGACATCAAATGATTCTATAATGAAATTTAAATAATTTCTGCAAGTCTTTTTAACATAAGGATGTGGATTAAATTTTAAATTCATAATGCCCTTCCTACCAGCCCTACTTTCCGCTGTTGTTTTTTGTGCTGTAAAACGCTTTAATCAGTAATACACATTGGGGATAAAGGCTTTCGTTGCATGAGGTGTCTTCTGCCTTGGCAATTTCAACTAAGTCTACATAAAGAAGCATTAACCCATTGCCTACTGGAACCGTGTGGTCCCTGTATTATACATATGGGAAAGAGAGAATTCAGAAGTCAATAGGTTAACTGAGGACCAACAAATCAATCTTTTACTGTGTGACTGTGCTTCCACTGACCTCAACAAGCCTCCACACTTCAGCAATGATAGCATACTGGATCCTGTTGACAGCGAATCCTGGAACTTCTTTCTTCAGAGTGACCGGTACCTGCCCAATGCTCTCCATGATGGTACGAGTCCTGTCAATCGCAGACTGGTCAGTCCAAGGTGCAGGAATGATTTCTACCAGGGGTGCATAGTATGGTGGGTTAATCTGTAGAGATTACATAACAAGATCTAAATGCCAATTCCACTTCTGCCACTAGATAACATTCCAACTGAGTCAGTTACATGAAGTATCCATCATTTACAAACGGTCCTAGTCCTGTCAACAGGGACTTTAAGATTCTGCACGACGAGAAAGTGGACTGCCCTTTTAAGGCAATGTGACGTCCTTTTAAGGCACTGGCAGTGATGTCACATTGCCTTAAAAGGATTCTGCACGACGAGAAAGTGGACTGCCCTTTTAAGGCAATGTGACGTCCTTTTAAGGCACTGGCAGTGATGTCACATTGCCTTAAAAGGGCAGTCCGCATTCTCGTCGTGCAGAATCTAAAAGTCCTTATTCACAGTTTGGTTCGGCCTTAGGTTGGGGATGATTTCTACCAGGGGTGCATAGTATGGTGGGTGGATCTGGTAAAATAACATTACAAACTCAAATACCAATCCCACTGCTGCCACCATATAGCAGAGGGCATTTAAACCATGACAGTTACCCAAGGTACCAACTATAGTACCAACTATCATAATGGTCCTAGTCAGGACTGTCAATCACATTCTGGTCAATCCAAGGGGCAGGGGTGATTTTCATCAGGGGTTCATGGTAGGGTGGGTTGATCTGTAGAGATTACATAACAAACTCTAAATGCCAATCCCACCGCTGCCACCGTATGGCAAAGGGCATTTCAACCATGAGAGTTACCTGAGGTACCAACTATAGTACCAACCATCATAATGGTCCTAGTCAGGACTGTCAATCACATTCTGGTCAATCCAAGGGGCGGGGGTGATTTCCATCAGAGTTTCATGGAAGGGTGGGTTAATCTGTAGAGATTACATAACAAACTCTAAATGCTGATCCCACAGCTGCCCCCCCCCCCCCCATGATAGGACAGATGGCATTTCAACCTTGGTTGATAAGGATGTGTAAACCATGCTACCAACCATGCTACCAACCATTGAATATGATGGTTCATTGAATATGAATGGTTCTAGTCACAGACTGGTTGGTCCAAGGGGCGGGGATGATTTCTACCAGGGTGCATCTAGTGATAGTGGTGGTTATTTTACCTGACAGCTACGAAAGCAACAAATGCTTGTTAGTAAGCAACCAGAAGACCGACGGCTTAAGGTCCTCTCTGAGGGACCTGGTAATGAGGATAAATGCCTTACCAAAGGGCACTAGCGCATCGACTTGGTTTCGAAACCGGTTCACCGGATAACAAGACCAATGCTCTACCGACTGAGCTATCGCGCCTCCATTTCATTATGGATTAATATGAAGAGACTGCATAACCAACTTTGGATGTGTATAGAACAGTTTTCGTACAGTATGATATGCTTTCTACAAGAATGCAATACCATTATCATAAGTACAGTGCTATGTGAGAAAGAGGCCTCATTAATGCTTTCATCGATGTACAACTTACAGGATGAGAGATGAGGCACTGGTTGCGACGTTTAAGGTTCTCCGTGAACTGGGACGGCATGATGCATGATGAAGAACTACTCAAGATGGCGTCGTCACCGACATACTGCTCCATCTCACTGAACACCTTCTGCTTCACCTCAAGTTTCTCAAACACACATTCCTGAAATCACACAAATACCAATCAATAAATGGTTTGATGCCACATTGGAAATAACAGGATTATGTGAAAATTCCCTGACATAGATCAGTGTTACAGATTGTGTGACACTTGCTCCTCAAACAATTGTTCCACAGTTGATTTCAGATCCCAGTGGAGATTTGGCAATTAACGAAATGATAACAAAATTGTTCAATTTTGCCGAATATCACATTAACTGAAAAGTGCTATAGATATACAGAGTAAGGGACTACACACTGGTGGGACATCAACATGTGGTTGATTAAAATGGAGACTACTATAGTATTTAGTTCCATTTGAAATATTAGGATAATTTTCACACCAATATTTTCTATACATTTCATTGTTTAATTCTTCTATTTACAAAAAAAGAACATTTGAAAAAACTTGAAGAAGATCACTACAGGAAAATCTTTAGTATCATCATCACTTGGATGACATAAAACTTTGGTCTAATTGTTTAGACGATGAGTTATATTTCAATTATAAGGGATCTCCAAATAAAAGCAGACTTTCCCACATGATATATTTCTTTTAGATTATGATAATTCCTGATTACCTGGACAAATGAAGCTCCAGCGAGAGCTTCTTCCATGCTGTTACTGCCTTTGATGAGAGCAAACTGAGCCTCGACAGACAACGTTCCTCGTAGCATACCAGACTCGGACAGCTCCTCCAGCTGTGACTTGATCAATTTCAGAGCATTGCTCACCTACAAGTAATCAAATATCAAAAATAATATACTTGTACAAGATTAATAAAAACAATAATATGAATAATAATAAAAATAATAACAATAATATTTAATACATTTAACAAATGCAGAAACTATGCAAATATATTCTATTGCACTGCAAGAGCTCCTGATGTGCTTACAAACTAGAACATGAAGTTAAATGAAAAGATGTGCTTCTAGTTCAGATTTAAAAATACTTAACGATGGTGATTTACAATCTAAACAGTCAATTATTCCATGATTTGGGGTCTGCCAAAGCAAATACTTAATCTCTCAATGTTTTTTTGTTTGAGTGATGGGCTTAGCAGTAATAGAGTATTTTGAAAGCTGCGCAGGTTGTGGGTATGTTTGCGAGTCTTGAGTTTGAACAATTCTACAGTTTAATTGGTAATTTTGTGTTTATATTATCAAATTTCAGCTTTCTGTTCATTCTTTCAGTTTATTATGATAGTGCAAGAAGAAAATGTATGTATGTCTCTCTTTGATAATGATAATGATGATGATTATAGTAGTAAATAAAAAATAGAGAGAAAATACTAGTCTGAATAAAAACAACAACAATAATAATAATAACAATGATAATAACAATAATAATAATAACAATGATAATAATAACAATAATAATCATAATGATATTAAAAATAACAATAATAATAATAATAATTTAAATGTATGAAACTGTTGAAAGTGAAGATGAAGAAGAAGGAGAAGAAGGAGAAGAAGAGAAAGAAAGAAAGAAGGAAAGAAAATATGAGCACTGCAAGTCAATAGTGAATCCACAAACCTGAGAGGGTTCTATATCAAAGATTGTGACACTGTACCCAGCACTGGCAAAGATCATAGCCCAGCTCCGTCCAATTAATCCACTGAAATGGAATAAAAGATATAGTTAGAATATCAGTAGAGCATTGACACGCAAAGTCGATACATAGACGTTAGAATTTTATATAACCTTGCACATTCTGAAAGCCCATACAGATAAAAGATTCAAGATTCAAGATTTTATTGTCCATAATATAATACAGAAATTTGTTTTCCATTGGTGTAACATGTATTACATAAAACATAAGACCAAAAAAAAAAATTTATTCATGATGTGATTCAGAATTGTATTTAAAATTCTTGCTATGTATACGTCATATAACTGTCTTGTCATGTTTTGTGCTGAAAGCCAGAAGACTCTATAAGAAAAAGTCTATGAGCAGGTACGGTCCTCCGGCTTTTAGCACAAAACATGACAAGACAGTTATATGACGTATACATAGCAAGAATTTTAAATACAATTCTGAATCACATCATGAATAAATTCAGGTATGAATATAGATGTGAATATGAAAGTAGAATAGGAGCAGCATCACAATCGAAATACGAGCAGAAAGAGAAAGGGAAAGTAAAAGAGAGCTCAAGCTTGAAGGACTGATAAAAGAGAGAAATATATGGAGAGTTGGTAAGGGTCCAAAGGGAAAGGAGAGAGATAGAGAAGGAGAGATGGCATAATTTCCAATTAGATTATAATGCATGACAGAAAAATACAAAAAAATCAGCAGCAGAGCTAAACAACAGATTTTTTTTGACCCACAAAGGTGATAAGGTGGAAAACTTTCCAACCCAATCCCTACAAGTTTATTTACTGGGTGGGTAGAGAAAAAGTTAACAAATAATCATAATCGCTGTTATCGCTATTATTTCGCTTAAAGCTGAGAACTTTGTGTTATTTGTGCATTGTAGATGTGCATTGTAGATGTGCATGGAATTTGGAATCAAAGAATTTCTGTATCTGGCTCTACGGGTAATTGGTACACGCAGGGGGATACCTGAGCGGTTAAAAGTAAAAAAAGAAAATAGTAAAAAAGTAAAAGAGGTAAAAAAGGTAAAGAGAGTTATGGTCATGCAATAAGATTGCGAAAAAAACTGTCTAGGACTTTTTTCCGGTTAGACCTCATGCATTGCACACCAGCAACCCATAGTGGTCAATGCTAATACATATTAAGGACCACACCAGCAACGCACAGTGGTCATTGCTAATGCTGATGTTGTTGTTGTTGTTGTTGTTTTAATTTATAGGCGTTTTTCATTCAGAAGTGAATATTTACGCCTCTTCTCTCAGGATTTTTATTCCTTTAAAATTAGATTTACTTTTTTTGATATATAGATTTGGATAAATTGGATTTTTAAAAGCTAAACTTTTATTTAATGATGAAGATTTCAGTGGCTGGCGAGCAAAAGGCTTATCGGCTATATAGGACGCCCAAGGACCAACTCGGACACGGTACGTAGTGACAAGCTTCTCAACTCAGCCTAATGCTGAGCCTAGGCCCTCCGACGTCCACCAATATGTCTAGTCGTCTCCATCGTGTTTCTTCAAAATTTTGACCGAAAACCAAAAAATAAAAAAAAACAGATCATGATACATGAAGATTTTAAACGTTAATATAGACAGTTCTCTCTTCTAATTTCTTTTTTTTTTTTTTTTTTTCTTCTTTCTCACTCTTCTTCTTCATGTACATGTATACTCACTATAAAAAGCGAAACATATTGGGCTCAAATAATTATGTGCGGTGCAAGGTGGTTAGTAGGGGTACAGGTGTACCCTTTTAGATCTAACTACGAAGTTAACCAGAGCCTGTTGGTGATTAATATCTGTTGATTTCAGGAGTATTGGGATTAATTCTTCGTTTTCTATTCCAGATTCTGTTATAAGCATGGCTCTCTCTATAAGAAAGAGTGGGCACTTACATAAAAAATGTTTAACTGTTTCTTTTTGGTGCTCACAGTTTGGACAATGATAACTGGACTGGACCTAGGCTAGGGGAGCTGGAGTAGTTTTAAGTTTACCCAATTTGTGTGGCATATACCAGTATATTAGAATAATGTATTAATATCAAATAAAGAATCACTGCACTGTCACATGAACTTTTCAATACAAATTACAACCCTAGCTTTGCTGCAGCTTTCATTCAGGCCATTAGCCATAAGCCATGGCATAATAACTATATTGCATAACAAGTCTACAAGTACAGGAAATCAAGATCATTCACACACTAATCAACCATCAAAATATTACATATGTGGGACTGAATAGAACAATGGTTCGCCATACAAACATATCACAGCCTCAACTGAAATAATGAGCATAGTTTTACCTTCCGACAATACCAATTTTCTGACTTTCCATTTTGCTGAATCTTCTGCTGAATGTGTAAAGGTTTTTACAGTACTAAAGACGTGTATCAATCAGGTGCAATGCAACGAATGTTGGTGTTGTTACCTAGATCTACAGCCAATGAATGAGAATAGAGAATAGCGGGATAGCGTAGATTCAAGGATCCGTAAAAATGTTAACAATAAAGATAACCCCCACAGGGCTCATAACTGCATTCAAAGTAAATTTCACAAATCAATTCACATCTATTTTAATAAATATTTATACTTTCATAAACCTTTGTATATTTTTTGACTAACGTGGCATGCAGTGGCATGATAGAAACTTTTAAAAGCGACGTAATTTTTTTTAAACATCCGAATTAAGGCTAGCACTGATGACTCGATCAGCTGTTAGTGGTTTACGCCCACATCATGTGTTCTCCCATGGACCATGGTTCTCCTGAGAGAAGTGATGATAAAGTTGAGGTCTTTTTACGGTTGAATGTTCTATTATATTCTGATGACACTTTAATTTTAGCAGAGTCAGTAGAAGAGCTTTATGCTGATTTATCTGCAGTTATCAATGTTGTAAGCTATATTATGGAAACTTTTTTTCTTCCAATACAACTATGCAAGCAAGCTAGACCAAGAGTTCCTTAAATACTCAATAGTCATGTTGTGAATGATTATATTGAACCAAGGAGCTGGTAACTCCTTGATTGAACTAATTGATGCCTACAAAAAGCATGTGGAGTATTGACAATAGCAGAAACGGCTTTCTTGTCGGCAACTGACAAAATGTTACACATTCAAAAGTAATCTTGCTTCAGCAGATCGTTTCCCTCCTAAATTTGAAACAGTTGAATCGAATATTTTATCATTATTTCATCGCATGCAGTCAGTGACTGAGCTGAGAGAGATTTACAATACTGATGAATATGTAGCGACAAATGTTACAGTGCATTCATTTATAATTCACTGGTATACATATTGTGTTTTTAATCCAAAATGGCCGCTTTAGAAGTCATTGAGAGTTCGAGGATTTGGTATTACGCCATGTCCTCAGAACTGGTTTTAACTCGATTTATTATATAACGATGTTTATTCATTAGTATTTTCATCACATGATGAATTAACATAGATGTACGCGTATTTATTCATAAGTATTTTGATCACGTGCTTAATTAACATACATGTGCGCGTGTTTTGAACCAATCGCGCTGTAGTTGATTGGCGCTCTTCTGATTTTCCTGTGCGGGAATCAGTGAGCTGTTTTAATATTGGTATACACACATATATGCTGTTATTGTGTTGATATTTGTACCTAGAAAATTGTATCCAACGAGGATTGAACTGCTACGTCCCCGGACCATTCCCGGTGGACGTGCATGCTCACCTATTTACATCTTGTACGTTTTGCAAGATATATTTTGACTCTCTCGATGTTTAACATTGACGACACTTTACTTCACCAGCAGTGAGAATAGAACATTTAATATGATCTAACGTTTTTCTCACCTGCATTATTGTTTGACAACCTTTTATCATCGACTTCATATATATTGTCTCGACATTTGATTCTTCGACCTGCATCGCAAGGCACTGAAGTTGATCTAGACTATTGACATTGACTGCATCATCATTGTATTCATCTGTTAACTGATTCATCATCGTTGTCTTCATCACCGTTGTCTTCATCATCGCTGTCTTCACCAGCGTCGTCTTCATCGTCGACTTCATCATCGCTGTCTTCACCAGCGTCGTCTTCATCATTGTTGTCATCATCGTTGTCTTCAACATCGTGGTATTCACCTAGCGTCGATCATCGTCTGCATATCCTACGCGATCGACAACCAGCTCGTCGACCACTGTTTTCGACTAGCTAGTTTCTACATCTACCTAGAACTTGAAGAAGATCTACTTTGAATTCAACTCCAATGACTCACGTAACGTTAATTATATTGTGATTGATACTTTGCATTGTTTATCATTGTGATGCCTTATTTTGACTGACTGAGTGCCTGTTGTGAGTGCGTACGCTTACTAACACATATTTTACATGTTTATAATTGCACTAGTTCTAGGCCTATGCCTGGTCTACTGATCTAGATCTGCTATAGTCTAGATCCACCGATATAGCCTATTGTTGTATTCTCGTGTTGTGCATTCCGTACACATACACAAGTAGAGATTTGTTTAGCGGTTTCTTGAACCACAATATTTCGTGCCTATGTAAGTAAATCTAAACGCTGTCTAGCTTAGATTTGAGTAGTATTTTCTTGACTGTTATTTATGCAGTGTGAATGATATTTAACTGACTTGTTTTAGTACTGTCTTAAGTTGTACTGAACAGGACTCCTGATATTTCGAGACTTGTATTCAGCGGTAATCATTAATACCATAGTGACTAAGTTGAGTCTCCTTTACATTAATGTGCTGTTGGAAGTTATCTATGTTTGATTATTAATAGTAACTACCAAGGGCCTAGTGATAGTTTAATTGTCTGTCACTGTTGAGATAGACAGAAGAGGTTTCTGATAATTCTGTAATCATTGTATCTTATGTGAAATTATAGAATATAGAACCAGTTTTTAACCATAATCAATTTGTCTGGATGTGATCATTTATTAAGTGTTTTCTTGTCTGGAGGGATACTGCTTTTTAGTAGTTTAATTAAAAAAGGGAATTATGTGGGATTACTAGTTAACACGCAACATAGTCCATACCCCATGTAGTTTCCTAAATTGGTGACCCCGACGTGATCCCCCTGAGATAAGAAACATTTAGTTAGATTACCTTTGCTTATTAATATATTTTTTTTACCATTAGATAATCACATTTCTTGCTGATACACTTAATTCATTGAATTTAGTTGTGCGAACAGTGGGCGTGGCGCGGCGTCATGACTGAACCAAATAGTCTTCAGCACCAAGTTGCTGCGCTCACGGAATTGGTCAAGGAATTGACTGCCACTATCGGTTGCATGCGGAGCCGAAGCCGCAGCATGAGCAGCAACCGGAAGCGCGACTCATCCGGCTATAAATCAGCGAGCACTTCTGAAGTTTGCTGGTATCATGAGAAGTGGGGTGACAAGGCTCACCAGTGCCGCCCGCCATGCACATATAGCAAGCCGGCGGAAAACAACTAGGCCAGGAGGTGGGCGCGACACCCCTCACTGGCCCTCTTCGTGACGGTCACTTGTTCTATGTCACAGATAGAGATTCAGGGACACGATTTTTGGTTGATACTGATGCCGCGATAAGCGTAATTCCTGCCAACACCGCTGATAAGAGGCACCTTATGCCACTCGTTTTGCAGGCTGCAAACAAGACGCGCATATGCACATATGGGCAGCGTGAGCTCACAGTGTGTATTGGGCTGCGGCGTTCGTTTAAGTGGACATTCATATTGGCCGATGTTTCGCAGCCTATCCTCGGCGCAGATTTTTTGAGGCATTACGGCTTACTAGTGGATTTGCGCACCAACCGACTTTGGGATGCCACCACTAGTCTGTCCGTACATGGCATCGCCTCCGACTTACCGTCGCTGAATCTCACAATAGTGCAAGTAGACTCCGATTCTGTCTACAAACGCTTACTTGCCGAGTTCACGGAAGTAACTCGGCCCATGTTTAAGAACTGTCCGTTGAAACATGACGTCACACATAGAATACTCACAACCGGCCCACCAGTTTCGGCACGACCTCGACGCTTAGCGCCGGACAAACACAAGATCGCTAAAGACGAGTTTGGCCGGTTACTCGATTTGGGCATTGTCGAGCCCTCAGACAGTTCATGGGCGTCGCCGCTCCACATGGTGCCAAAGAAGTCAGGCGGTTGGCGACCATGTGGCGATTACCGCGCTCTTAATCGCGTGACCGTCCCGGATCGCTATCCCATTCCGCACCTTCACGACTTTGCCGCACAGTTGCGAGACAAGTGCGTATTTTCCAAAGTTGACTTAGTGCGCGCATATCATCAGATCCCCGTACACCCTGATGATGTGAAGAAGACCGCGCTGACAACCCCTTTTGGGTTATTCCATTTCCGACGCATGCCATTCGGACTACGCAACGCGGCGCAAACCTTTCAAAGGTTTATTGATAGGGTCGTCCGTGACCTGCCATTTGTATTCGTGTATCTTGATGATATTCTTGTTGCCAGCGAGAATCCCGAACAGCACGAGACTCATTTGCGCCAGCTGTTCACAAGCCTCCGTGATTATGGAGTAGTAGTGCATCCTGACAAATGCCAGTTTGGAGTCGAAGCACTAGACTTTCTAGGGCACCATGTGACTGCCCAGGGCGTCTCCCCGATGGATGACAAGGTCGCGGTAATTCGCAAATTTCCGCGCCCTGCCTCGCTACGCCAGCTGCGCCGGTTCTTAGGCATGGTTAATTTTTACCGCCGATTTATGCCTAAGTGCGCATCCTCGCTGGCCGCCTTGACTGATTTGCTGCGCAAGCAACCTAAGCGCTCTCGAAAGGCGTTAGATTGGTCCCCTGTGTGCGACTCTGCTTTCGCGGCTGTCAAAGAGGACCTCGCGAACGTCACGATGCTTACATACCCGTCTGTTGAGCTACCTACAAGCCTCGCGGTAGACGCTTCCGATCTCGCCGTAGGTGGTGTGTTACAGCAACTCCATGAAGGGGAGTGGCGACCGCTTGCGTTCTTTTCTCGCCGCCTCAAGCCTCCCGAGACTAGGTATAGTACCTTTGGTCGAGAGCTGCTAGCCATTTACCTCGGAATACGCCATTTCCGATACTTCTTAGAGGGGCGTGATTTTTTTGTTTTTACAGACCACAAGCCTCTTACCTTCGCACTCAAGACATCGCCCGATCGACATTCCCCTAGGGAAGCGCGGCAACTCGATTACGTGTCACAGTTTACCTCCGACATACGCCATATTCGAGGCGTTGATAATCAGGTAGCTGATGCACTTTCTCGCACCGAGATTGACTCAGTGCAATTACCGAACTCGATTAACCTGCGTGTAGTCGCGACCGACCAAGTCGATGACGTTGAGCTCGCTGCTCTGCGCTCAGACACGTCAACCTCGCTCAAATTTGAGAAGGTCCTCCTTCCGGAAGGGGACGCGCACATTTGGTGCGACATGTCCACAGGGCATCCGCGGCCGTATGTATCGGTAGCGCACCGTCGATCGTTGTTTGACAA